TATTTATTGTGCAATCTTGCAGTAATGTCACGTAGAATAAGTGCATTAGGATGACTCGCATACAAAGTAATACCTCAGATATACAAGGTTTATGTATGAAGGTCGCATGCTCAGGCTAGACTGCTTCTTTTAACAGAATAGAAATCTACTTTTTTCAATGAAAGGTTGCATTTATTTCTCATAAAGTTAGAAACGGTACTACGTAAAACTTTAAGTTCATTGAATTGCTTCAATAAATGCTCAGTCGCTTGAGCAACAGAGGCAGAAGGATTAGCATCAATGAAATTAGCAACGGCCTTTTTATGCTCTATTTTGGCTGGCTGCGACATTGCTTGTTGGAAGCATTGTATTTTCGCGTATTTAGGTTAAAATCCCGTAGCCACGAACATTGTGTTATAAGTGCGAAAACAGTAAGTAACCAATTATAATGAAGCTGTATGCAGGAGCGAATAGATCCCTTTAGATTACAATCGACGCAATAACAAAAACATATAAAAAAGCTTGTTATTTTATTGAAATAAAGTTATCCTTTTCTGCTCAAAATCTCCCGCCTTTAGGCTCCTTTAAACTTCGACTTTGCTCTCATTTCAATTACTGGCTGTCTTTTAATAAAAGCTCAATCAAACTCTCGTCAATGTCCATTGCTTCAAGGACACTGTATGATAATATAAAAGTAGTAAGAGACAATAAGATACAGTAAGGCTGAATTAATTCTTTTTATTGATAAGGAGTGGTTCTTATTTGTACTATTCTTTACTGTGGGATTATAGTTGATGCGGGTCTAACAGTTGTTCTGGGGTAAAGTAACTTAATTAAGGGTTTCCTAGTTTTACTACTGTGACATCCGGGTCAAGAAATGGTGCTATGTACTAGTAAGTGTTATTGTAAGGGTAATTTCCTTAGTTTCAATAAGCGTGAATTATGTTCGGATACGACAAAGATGTAAAGAGTATACTGGGAATTTTTTTTATTGTTTGAGAATAAAGCGCGGTTAGAAAGCCTATAACAACATCCGAGGTCGGAGTGGAGGCAATGGCAGTTGTGGTCCGCACGACCCACAATTGATATTGGCTATTTCTTCCATATCATGAAAGTAAAGCTCTTTGTTGTAGACTTGATTATTAAAATAAACAAAAGAACAAGTTTTTTAATTTAAGTCAATAATTAGTTGGGAATCCAGTAACAGCACTATGGTAATTTGTAATCAATCTTGCTTTGATAAAACTCTATCAACTACAAGAAGTGTTAAAAGAGAAAGAAAGAAAGGAAATGCTTACTTTAAGTGGGTAAATTTTTCTTAATATTCTGGTTGGTATAAATGTATTATTGACGTGATCATTAGGACTATAATGCTTCCATTTGATTTCAGCAAAAAGAATATTGCTTCCACAATTATAAACATTGACAACGTGATCAACATCATCCCACGTCTTTCCTTCTGGAGGTTTTCCTGATAGCTTTGCATTGATTATGTATTCTTTCAGGTTCTCTTCTACTTGAGGGGAAGCATCTCGAGACATTGCGCCTTTTGAGCGCCAATAATCCAATATCAGTCCCTTTGCAAATCTATACAATATCTAAATACGTCGCATTACAAGATTGAATCCGCTTACATGTTGCGTTCTTTTTCCCATGTGTTGTATTCATTACTGTAATTTTTCCATTTTATCAAGTATTCATAGCACTTTTATAAATTGTTAATACATGTTTTAATCGAACGCATGCTTATTTACATCATTTGTTATGCGGTGGCCAAGCAGGCGTTCCACCTCATAGATTTCATCGTCAAATGAGTCACTATTGTCTTGATCGATATTATTCATTTATAAATAACTAAAAGAAAACACTACGGACACGCGAGTATATATGCAAAAAAATTAGTGTGACTATACATAATTTTTTTTGGGTTTTACTATTTGCAGGGGAGATGTTTGATGCACAACCAAATCTAAAAGAGTAACGTCAGTAATATAGACAAATAATAGTAAAGAATAATTACAGATAAAAGTCAATGAGTCTCTATAAATACGAAGAAAGAAAAGGCTCATTATTACAAAAAGCATCATTTTATACGCAAGAAGGATTATTACATGGCCAATCATATGACGCATCATGTCCAAGTAAAATTGGACATGATAAATTCATGCAATAATCCTGTTCGTTATAAGATAAACTATGCAATAAATCTTGAGCAGCATTACTCATGCAGACAAGGACTGCTTCAGATTTGATGAAGAATTGCATCATAAAGAATAAATACTGTCTTACTAATGATGAATGAACTTTACAGTCTTTGCATTAAAATATCTATGATCTAACGCTGTCAGTCAAGCTGCACTGAGGTAAGTAGAGAACCAATGAATACAATAAGATGAAGCTTCACAATGACACAATAGAACGAAGGTAGAAATTTACCGCTTACTGCATTGAAAGTTTACATGATGCTCCTCTCAACAAATCCTCTCTTGTTTGTGCTTAAGCTTCAGGCCACAGATCGACAATTGGTCAGGCACAAATACAAGTGCCGTCTAAAAGAAGAACTCTAAGAAGTCATCTATAGTCAAAGGATGATATTTTATAAATGGCAAAAACCCTGTTTTTTCTTATATACACGGGAAAACGCCATGAGCACTTCTCTTTGTGATTGGTTGATTTGTGCTTATATTCGCCTGAGAGTTAAGCGAGAAATGAAAGCATGATTTGACTCAAACAAGCAAGAATTATGTAACGGTATACATACAAATATTCTCTTTTAAAATAAATGCTAAAGTAACCTGAAATTTGCGGATAAGGTGAAAATTACGACTTTTGAATCCTTAGTAATTATAACCCTGCTCCTCCACCTAATTGTCGGTTCGCTTCTTTAGTTGTATTCAATTGGCTGCAAATGCATATAATAGATCTGCATCTGTATATTTTGAAACAACGGGCAATAGGCTGTTCCTGCCACTTTGACCCGAGTCACCTGAGGCCTTTAGATCAACTATGGCACCTGACAGATTGAAAAGAAATACAGAAAGTTAGCTTGACCAAGTTTACTATCATTATATGAACCATCCTGTAAAAAATGGCGTGAAAGACAATGATATTTTATACACATAAATAAAACCTTTTGTTCTGGCGTGCCCATAACGTTTTTGCGCGTGCGTAGTGTTTCCTGACTAAAACAGGGAGCTTTCCCTATTTTACATTCTAGTGGTTTATACTTGTATGTTTTGAAATAATCAATATATTAGATATTTCCAATCAAGACAAGTCCATATCTATTGAAATTTCATCGTCTGAATGAAACTCGCTAAGCTCTCTATTGGAATGATACGATGGTGATAATCTGAATCTGTCGTCTAACTCTTCGTGAATGGGGCGTATTTCACTCGAATGAGCACTTTCTGATTCAAGCCCTTCTTCGTACATGTGTCCAGCATCCAAAGTATCGTGGTCCTCTTCAGATAATCCACCATTTCTATTTCTTACAGAGCCATTCGGTTGTCCTTTTACGTGAAGGGGAGCACCAACTTCTACAAGTTTCTGCTTTCTCTGAGCCAAATTGTCTTCCATACTGGCTATTTCATCAAATAGATCTTTTGCTGTTGGCTTTTTATGGAGACCCTTTGACTTTAAACTGATTGATGTAAGCGATGGGTATAGCGACATTGACTCTTTTTCTCCTTTCTGAAAAAGTAACTAATAAAAGCAGAATCCTGTTTTTATTCAAATTCAAACACAGCAGTAAAAAGAAAAACAGAGCTGATCAAATGGAGAAAAACAAATTCAACAGCTAACATATGTGATAACATGCTTTCATGCAACAGGCAAATGACGTTATATTAAATGCAGTGTGTAATCTATACAGACTAATTTTTAACGTATTTATCTTTATTGATCTGTATTGTTGCTTTGATGTAATTCCTTGATTTCTTATAACTTAGAAAAAAGAATTTTTAATTTTATGCTTTATTTTCTTTGTGTTTGCATATTTATATTTGATGGAAGCTGTATTTCTTCATTAGCTGACAAAAACTGCCTTAGCTCATTATACATTAGTAACAGTCTGTTGTTATTTTCAAAAGTTAAATGTATATGACTGTTGAAAGCTTGTTAACAACTCATCCGCTCTACCTCCAGCTTCAATCTCATTATTCTCCACAGTATTCTGGATAAGCATTGTCTCACTCATGGTATGAACTCTCAAGCTAGAGTCAATTTCTAGGTAATGTCGCTAGTGCACTGTAGCATTTCTCTTATTACTATGGTGACAATCTACCTTGGCTGTAAACCATACAACTTTTATTGAAGCGATAAACCAAATACATATGCTTGCAGACACTCTTATTTCGTTGAAAGTTGATACAATTGCACACAGTCATCATTCCTTGCTCAGTTGATATATTGTATACAGCTTCCGTCGTTAAAGATTTGACAATATAACAAGCTTTTTCATCAATATACACTTTCTGCACCATAAATTCTAATGGCAACTCATTGATCTCTTCTGCTGCAATAATTCTCTTTCTTGCCTCTCTAGTCTCTGAGCTAGTACGTCCGATATTGACGGCCATCCTTGCAGTATTGTGCATAAAATCTGTATGAACATCATCAACCAAGATAAAGATTAAGCGATCCAGCCTTCTGTTCCTCTTTCTTTGTAAATAACTTGTCTTCAATTGGTTATGCCAATTCTCGATATTGTTATTCATTCCCATATTGGTAAAAATTTGTGGCTGGTAAGCAGCAGACCAATGCATGAACTTATCATCAATAAGGTACTTTTGGGTAAAGTGGGCCATGAAATCCGCATGCACTGAAAACTCCTGTTGGAAATGTAGCAGCTTCTGGGCGAACATTTGGGTTGAAATTTCCCATATCAAACTCTTAAGAGCTGCTATCATGCTTCTATGGACAGCATTGTTGGCAGAGACGCTTCCTAACTTGACTTTCTTGCGAATTTGATCCATCCAGCCTCTGCTAACATGGAAAAGACACCTTTGGATACTGACGACAGAATCAAAGACTCCTGTAATGGCTGTATGTTCAGCGGCAGAAACGTCGATTGTTATTTTCTTTAAGCAAGAAGGTTGATCTGGTCCAAGATCCTTAATAAATCTTAGAAAGCGCGTGATTAGAATCATTGAATGATCATTAGTAAAGAAAAAGACAACTGGGCAAACTCTTCCTGTAATAGAATGTCAGACGACAATGCTATATAATATAACATTGGCTATGTTAGGCACACAATGTGTAGCATCCAGGCAAAATGATTCAGCTCGAACTAGTTGTTGTCTTTGCCATGGAGAAACAAAGCCGAATGTATAGCTCTGTTCAAAATCTTGAGCATTGTAGTAAAGTAACCTCGTTGTTGCTGAAGATCTTTCAATCAAAGCTTGATCGATTCTTTCTGTTCATTGTGTTTTTTATACGATAATTCTTGAACCTTTTTATATATGCTGTAAACATCTTCTGAATGGACAAACTAATCACAATGTATAACACACACTGAAGAGGAAGACGAACTAGCAGCTTCAGGAAAAGGGGCCCTTATCCTTTCATTAAAATGACGTTGAATTGCAGCTCTTATGTCTCTTCTATCATAGTCTTCACGTAACTTTTGTAATATAGCTTCCTTCGTATTATCCGATAAAGGTAAAAAAGAGATATCATCAAGGCTTCCAATAAGATGATTATGCTCATTATGAAGCTTAATGGTGACCTGATTAGGTGTTACAAAATAGTAGGTGACAGTAACATAGCATCTGCAGTTGATCTTCTTGCTTGGTTTCTGAATTGGCCGGCTTTTAGACGATTCATCTTCTGTCTGTATACCAGCACAACTCTTATAGGCCCCAGATCTATGACATATGTAATTAATTTTCCAAACGATGCTTCTTCTTGTTACGCGCTTTGGCATAGGTTGGCCTTCTTCGTTTAAAGTAGACATATCCATTCGTCTTTTCCTTATAAATCCAGCATACTGCATGATGGGCAGGTGAATTTTCAATAATAGTTTTTCAAGAGTCGATATCAACAGTAATTTCTTTAGGAAAGGGTGTGTATTGTTCTAAAACTAAGCTCTCAGGCATGATTACTATTCTTTAATAAAAGGAGAATAAGTGGACGAAGAAGTTAAAGAAATAGAGAATCAAAGAAGAATTAATGGTCACAGCATCAACGAATAAATAGTCACTCTAAGTTTTAAAGTCCAGAAAGGAGGCAAAATTGCAGCATGTCTTAAACGTCATCATATATTTTTAAACTCCATCTGATTGCTGCTGAAGAGAAGGGATATGATTTGCCTTGGCGACAATTTTTCACTCTATTTTTTCTTTTGTTCCCTTCTTGCACTATGATATCAGCAGCTCACCGTTCTCATGTTCAATCACTCTATAAGCGTTCATTGAAACTTTCACTCGACTGGTACATTCAACGAGATTTATGGCGTCAAAAGGCTTTAGAAATTAGAGCCCGATTTGAACAAAATAAGCATGTCACCAATCCCAAGGAGATTCGAGCTCTTATCGAAAAGACAGAACAGGAACTTCAAGAATTCGCTCATCCTGATCCTTATAGATGTAAGACTAGTTATAAGTTTGAATGCTCAATAATTAACAATATATCTATTAGTACCCACTGGACCTGAAGGTACTAAATGGGAACGTAATCTTCCTCCCATCATGGTAAGTTCTCTCTCCCCCTTCAAAATAAAAGCATCAAACAATTTAAACTTTTGACATAGTTTGACAAATCTGCTGCTCATCACCATTAAGTTGGAATATGTATCATTGACATTAGCAAAATAAAAAATATAAAAAGGCTATTTTGTGTTGTAAAAAAGATGAACGATCACGTGAGTAAGAGCAGTCAAAGTTTAGAGTAGAAAATAAAGATAATAGACGGTATATTTTCTTTTTTCTTTTTCTTTTTCCTATGTCCTCTACTCTTTCTCGTCTTGAGACAGTAAAAGAACACTTGAAGGTATAAATGCAAAGTGTTTTTATGGTATCTAATAAAGGTGGGTCAATAATAGCCTAGTATGTCGACTACCCATAAGAGCCCTATCACTTGTCACGTCCTTATTGCATCTCTTGGTACACCTGGTCAAGGAATTGATGTTAAAATTGAAAAATTAGATCATCAAGGATTCAATACACTTTCTATCGCGTAAGAGAAACAAAAAAAAAGAAGGGGAACTTTGAATTGATGTTTATATTAGCCAAACAAACAATGATGGACGATGCCCCAACTTGTTACCAAATGGTTACAAGGTAGAAAAAGGCATTTATAGAGTTACCTTTGAGACGCAAGCCTATTTTCAAAAATTAGGACAAGCTTGCTTCTATCCCTATGTTCAGGTAATTGAAGGATAAAAAAAGAAGGGAAAGGCTTAAAATAATTCTTTATTGAATTTAGATTGTGTTTGAAATCGATCAACCTGAGCAACATTATCATATTCCACTATTAATTAGTCCTTATTCTTATACAACTTACCGTGGATCATAAAAATATAGCAACTATATTTTCTACTTGTATATTATTCATCTGTGTGACTTGAAATAAATATAACTGAAAGGTCAATGATCTATTCTACAGTTTAGTGCCTTCATTTGTCCTCTTGGTTGAAATGCATCATTGGCTCTCATTTCATCTTTTTTAAAAGCATAATGCGATGCTGTAGTTAATAATAATTCTTTTGGGGAATGTATGGTAGGAAAAAAAAAAGTTGATATTTTTATACAAAGCACAACCTTTGTAGATATGCTTAGCATATATGCTGCCCAAGTAACCGATAATGTCCCTTCCCTTTTTGTATTGCAACGATCAATAACAATATTGCTATCAGGATATTTTTTTTTGAGATTTACAAGAATATGGATACAAATAACGTGGAGACTGAAAATAATAATCTAAAAGTGTACCTCTGTATTGCCGTATTTGACCCAAAGTATGTCTGTAATCAAATGAGTGATATTCTATCCTTGATCAGACCGGCGTTTGAAATCCCGTTGTGTCTCTCATGCGCGCACTGTGGGGAATTTCCGTTCTGTACTTTAATTTCCAATTCCGAGCTTTTCTCCCTTCTTCTTTTTCTTTATAATCTTCAAATGGGTGAACAGCAAATGACGCCAAGCGAACAGTTTCTAGCGAAAAGATGGTTTATTATTGGCGCTTATCAATCAGGAGCAACAGATAAAGTTATTAGTAATATGGTTGGACTCAGTTCAGCATCTGTCCATAATGTCATCACTCAGTTCAAGAGAACTGGCTCTCCGGTTCGTAAAAGGTTACACTTGAATGAAAAAGGTATATTAAAAAAGGAGAAATATAGATGTGAAAACTCATGATGATTAGCTATTGGATATGATGACCTTGGTCGTATCATTGATAGTGATAACGAATTAGGAGTAAAAATTTCAATTACGTAAAATAGTGAGAGGGGTCTGTAGTAACAATAACCTTGTGATTTTTTTAGGAAAATGAATATAATGAAGTCAAAACTAAAAAGACAAGGCCAAAGAGACCTTCTGCCAAAGATGTGATAAACTATGTACTTCATAAAGCACAACAACATCAGCAACATCAACAACAACATGCAGAAGAAAGAGCCATCATGGCAGAAGAAGAGAAGATAAGCATAAAACAGGAAGAAGAAGACGATAAACAAGAGATGATGCTATACCAAAACAAATGGAGGCCACCTACACCACCTTATCATCACACTCAACAAAAAGGACAATCATTTGATAATAGTAGTACAACGCTCCTTTCACCGCCCTTAACAGAACATAAACAAGCCGAATGGACAATGGAGGAAGATAAGATACTGATGGCACATGTCTTGACTAGACTGACGAGTGAGCGATGGCCAGAAGCAGTGGCCAAACTAAAAGGAAGACATGATATAGTCGATTGCCAACAACGATGGGAGTTATTGAAAGAACTTTTATTAAAAGGTGCCGATAAATCAGGCACCCGTGGATGGTAACAATTGAATAACGTCTTGAATAAAATAAGGTGTCACTTTAGGTATTAATAATAGTACAGGGAAGGGGTGTACATTTTCACTATCATTGGTCATGTTTGTAATTAAAGATGATTCACTAGAGGACTCGTCACTTGAGTAATAGTCCTCTAGATCTTGAGGTGCGCTATCACTGTTGTTGTTGTCCAACATGATCTTTTTCTTGGCCCTTTCAAATCGATACATTTTTTGTTTATAACGATATTCACACAAAGAGTCCACTTCTGATATCAGTTGATCCTTTAGCTCTGGTGTTGTAATACCGGCTTGTTCAATAGAATGGTTTATATCAATCTTGCCAGGCAGTCCATCAAACATAAAGGTGAACAGAGTGTCCACATACTTTATCAACTCATTAAAGATATCCGATGCATCTTGTGTATGAACGTTATAGACAAAGTCATAGAACCTTTGTTCATGTCGCTTGACCAAATCGATGAATGACTGTATCGACTTATCTTGTTGTTCGATCGTATTTAATAAATCGTCAATAAATAGTGATATATGACGTATTGTTGTACTAATATCTGCTGCCTTGTACACTTGTGCTAATGGTTCATAAAACACAGAAATGCATTCCTTTAGAATATCGCCTGTTACTCCTTGGAATACTAATTCCATGGCAATATCATGTTCCTTTTGTTTAGCATAAGATTCCCATAATCTATAGAGATGCTTGATGAGCTTCTTTCCTTCGTCGCTGTTATTATCACATAGAGAAAGTTCCCTATCAGATAATATTGGCTTGATATCATCATTTCTTAATACGGCCAGTAGTTCCTCGGTAGGTGAAGTATAGTCTACGTATAAAGAAATCAGCCTACAGATATACCACAAAAGAAAAGGGAGGTTTACCTTGCCATTCATCTGATTTTGAAGTATGAACTGCATTATACACCTTTTCACATAAACTGGCATGACCAATCTCTTGTTCTAAATCTTCTATGGCCTTTTGAAACGACTTTGATTCTTGGCTCAGGTTGGAGATTAAAATTCTATTTATAGTAAAATTATAAACATATGCCATCACAGCTGTTGTTGCCAGGGTTACCTCTGAAATAAGCTTCTGCTACCAAAAGGTTGTGCTAAAAATAAATCAAGTATACTCTTCACCATAGACATGGGATTAGATAGTTTTAATATCATCGATATTGTCCTGTAGGGCATCAAGCCATGGGTTCTTTTTAAATTATTCAGATTGTCAGCTGCCGTATCGACCATAATGAACTGTTTGCGCAGTGCGAATGCAAAGCTGGAATAATGTGAATAAACCTAGCTATTTTTTTTTTATTTTCTTACTTTATGCGGCCCCATTCGAAAGCCTTTTTAAGAGACGGCGGTAAATCTTGAATATCTTGAGTGTGCTTTATGATATCAAACACTTGAATCAAGCCTCCTGGCTGAAGTATCTCTTTCTTTAGATCATCCAATTGCTTATGCAAATCCTTGACGCGCTCATTCAGTTCCTCTTGGCTCTTTTCTTGTTCCTCAAATCTTTGCTTATCTGCCTTTTCCCGGTCAAAACAATCCTGATCTGGTACAAATGACGTTGGTTGATCCATTAAAAACGAATGCAGTGCTTGGCTTTTGCCAAAGATGGGATGTTGAATCAATTCGTGTAAATAAGCGCGTAGAGCAAGTCGGTCGTGTTCTCTGTAAAACGCATCATTCGCTGACACATGCTTATGAGGAACTACGGGAATAGGATGGAGATAATGCCTTTTAAGTTGTTCCCGGAGTCGACGAAAGTCCCGATGCCGTTTGTTGACATAGATAGGATCCCTTTTATCCGGATACCTTGTTTCGATTATAAATTCGGCGTGTGACGTCTCCAACAAGGCCTTCTTTACCTTCACTCGACGAACAGTGACAATGTTGAGTTGAATTTCAGGTGAGTGTCTGTGGTCATTCAAAGTAGACTCGAATATTTTGATACTTTCTTCTTTGCCTTGGACTGTTTTAATGCTTGCACAATAAGCAAAGACGAGCGCCTTTTTCAATTTTCGCTGGATCAATTTCTTTTGCAATGAGCTTTCGGAGTGTTGAGGACAATAAAAGTTGTCAAGTTGAATCTTGTTGAACTCGTTCAAGAGGGTTTGGCACTTGCCCCAGAATTCTTCCTGTTGTATTTGCTTGAGAAGAGGAAACTTGATGATCATATGATGAAATATATAACTAAGGAGTGGATATTTTTTCGCTGTCAAGAAGAGTGTCTCTGGATCATGGACTAGACTTGATATCTCAAAGTCAAGCTGTTTGGTTATCATCTCTCTTTTGAGATAATGAAGTTGTTTAGGTGTGAAATCCATAATATGTATGTATATATATATTCAATATGGAGAGAGAGAAAAAAAGAGAGAATAAGAGGGAAAAAAATGATTTAATATAGAAGAAGAAAAGGCAACCATGACGACAAGATTATTGTTCAAAAGAATTAAGCCTCAGCAGTGATATCACGACCATTTTCCTTTTTTCTTTTTTTATAATTTACGAGATGCCCAAGATCATCTCTTCTTCTGTTGTATCTTCTTCATATAATGCACCTCAACAACAAGAGCAGTCTTCAAAGACATTATATGTTTATTATTGTTTATGTTCAGAATTCATTTTAGTGATCGATGCTGATCTACGACAATTGCCAACAAGAAGAACAGACAATGCCATCATTGTATCAAATATCAGAAGAACCTACAAATTATCAGCAGAAGCAGGTGATTGCGTTTTGTTAAAAAGGTAATATTTCCTATATTTCCTATATTCCTCATTGACACTCTATATTTAGACGTAATGGATATGAAAAGCAATATAGATACCAATGTCCTCGTTGTGAACTAACAGTGGCATACGAAATGAACGAACATCGTAAATCAGGGCCTTATACATACATATTAGAGGGAGCATTAACAGATGTTCAAGGGAAAGTACCAGCCAACGCTATCCTTGATATAGAGCATAATGTCAATGTCATTCAAACATAATCTTGGCGCTATTTAAAATTTCGACGTTTTAAAATAAATAAAAATCAATCCTTCTTTTCTCTCCATCTCTTTGCCTTTTTTCTTTTTATCCGTTATGGGAGCTAATACGTCAAAGAGCGCAGGCAAGCACAAGGCAACAACAGCTTATCACCAAAAGTTTGAAGACTTGGTAGACTTGGGTGCAGTCTTTCCTAATGGTTTATACCCAGCTACGGAACAAGATTATGACCCCAGGATTGTAAAAAGCTTGATTATTGCAAGAAAGATTGCACCATTCTATAAAGGTTTGAAAATGTCAAGCCTGCATGTATTAATATGTACTTATTTTTTCTTTTTATAGGCTTACCAGATGCACCGGAGCCAAAAACAGAAACGACAGATACATTATCACCACTATCATCACTTTCAGAACCAGAGCATAATAATAATAATAACAATATATCGGGTACAGTTATGAATAGATCTCGTAGTGCATCCTCAAGTAGTCGAGTACGATATGACCCTTATGTGGAAAGACAGAAAGCATACATGGAGAAAATGAAACAAAGAGAAAAGATTTTATACAATGACGCTGTTGAATGTCCTATCTGCTTCTTGGTAATAAGACAAGAACGATGTACCATAATTGTATTAAACATTACCCTAGTATTACCCATCCAACATCAATTATTCTCGCTGTTGTGATCAACCTATTTGTACAGAATGCTTTGTTCAAATTCATAGACCTATTGAAACCCCTTCTATTCCCGCCACCTGTCCCTTTTGTATGCAAGAAAATTATGGTGTCATTTATGAACCTCCTTCATGGAGTGAAAAGTTTCAAGTAAAGTACCTAAATGAATAGTGAAACATTGTTTCATTCATCATTTATCACTTTAGGCTCGATCAAGGAGTGGATCACATAGTACAATGACCGGTACTAGACATACAACTTCTGGTATAAGTAGTGAAACAAGCAATCCAAGAAGAGAAAGCGTGAGTCATAAAGACCCAGATGTAGTCCTTATAGGTAATTTCGGGAAAGAGGATAATAACAATATGCTTATTATATATGTATATATATATAGATCACATAAGACCCAATTGGGATAAAACGAAAACACCACACACTTCATCAAGACCTGTATCTCGAAGGAACTCAGCATCAGCGGGTTCTCGTGGTTTGTTTAGAGCAGCGGGTTTACTGACAAGACCGGGTCGATCCGCCTCATCAGCTGCGGCTACTGAATATAATCAATTTTTATCAAATATCAGAGATGTAAATATGGATTTGGAAGACTGGATGGTGATGGAAGCGATACGCTTATCTCTTGCTGAGCAAGAAGAACATGAAAGAAAGGAAGCTTTAGACAAGAGAGAAAATAATAATACAACTGGTGCTTCCACTAGTAACAGTAGACAATAAACATTCTAATTGATCTCTTTACTGTCAAACTTGTTTTGATAGCCTAAGCTCGCTTTTATTATTATGAAAATTAAATATTACAGTTATTTACAAGATGTCTTTTTAGCAAATAATATCCTTTTTTCGTTTGAATGAAAAGGAGAAAGAAAAGAAGAAGAAAGGGGGGGGGGGGGAAATAGAAAGGGGGCATGAAAATGAAATGATGAAACATGATGTATTTTGGCTCAACCAGAATAAAAAGTAGTACCAGCCGTTCCTCTTGAAAAAGATTCTTGAACCAGATCGACTTGCTGACGGAAAGCATAAACTTGCGAGGGTAAGAACCGAATGCATCTAACGGGTATTTCTTTATATTCTCTAGGCTTAGTGCAGAATTGTCCGAACCCTTGAAGGGCTTCATATTCATCCGCTGTGATCACAGTGGTTGTAGTGTCATCTGTCATGGGTGACATACGCTCATCGTCTGTGGTGTCTGATGTTTCATCATTTAATTGCTGGATAGGCGTTGATAGCTCAATACATCGTGTACTGTTTGAATCCAATTTTTGAAAAAGTGGTTTTTTAGGCGAGTCCATCTTTTTTTGTTCAACAAAAGAAGCGGATGTATTTGGAGGTGAAGGATATGGCCATGGATAAGGTCCCTGTGGAGCTAATACAGAGGGAGGCGGGGGAGGAAGTAAAGGGGGATAATGATAATAATGTTCCTGAACGGGTAATGGTGGTGGCAGAAGTGGCCGTTGTTCGTAAGGAGGTAAATGATTAAATGGCTGCTGAAATTCGATTTTAGGTGACCTTGGTGGTACATTCACCATCATATTGTCGTCAGGTACGGAAGGTTTCTTTTCTTGAAATCCTTTCTTTCTATTACGATTATGTGTATGTGTATGCTGCATCATGTTATCAATACGACTAAATGTACGATCACAATTAGGTACAATACATTTATAGGGTTTCTATTCATTATATTTTAGTTTTTTTTTCCTCTCTCTTTTTATATATTTTTATTTTATACCTCGCCAGTATGCTTCCTAGCATGTCTTGCTAAATGTTCACTTCTAGAGAAAACCATATTGCAATCACCATATCCAGTACATCTAAATATTTTGGGTTCGTTACGTCGTGTTCTTGTCGTTGCTGTTGCCGTAGTAGTAGTCGCTGTAGAAGTAGTGGTAGTAGTAGAAGTGGTAGTAGTAGTAGTAGTTGCTGCTGTTGTTGTTGCTGTCTTTTTCTTTGGTGACATATCCTCTCTCTCTCTCTGTCGCTCCTCTCTTCTATTATATTTTCCCCTCTCTTTTGTTTCAGGAAAAAAAAAAAAGAAACTATAAATAAATATAGAAAAAGAAAGAAAGTAAAAGAAAATGATGAGCTTTAAAAAATAACAGGAAAATATTTTTTTATAGGCCCGTCATGCAATGAGTCCAGGGCAAAAAATTTTTTATTATTTTAAGCTTCAGTCAAGTCTTGTCTTTTTTTGATCAATGATTTATAAAATGAACAGCACCCGAATATCTTTTTTTTTTATTTTTTTGCTATTAGAAACTTGTTTACTTTTGTTTTTGTTTTGTTTACCTTGCGTTTTGACCATATCTTTGTGAGGTGATACAGGTCACTTTATTACCTGCTATACCAATCTGAGAACCAAACCGTGCCTAATATTTTAATTTTTATTATATTACTTCAGGCACACAACAACAAAGCCAGCCGAGAACTCCTTTTTTTTTGGTGTGTGTATATTTACCAGCCCTTTATTGTTCCTTATGCATTCTAATCGATCATTCAATAGTTGCCATTTATAAACCCTTCCTTTCTCTTTTTATATAATCAATTTAAGCTTTTTTTTTTTCAATTGTTTATCTATTACCTTTTTCAGCCATTGGTTCACCCACCCATAATTCTTGATTGACAATAGATAAAGATTGTCCTAAATGACCTGCATTTGTTCTTCCCTTTAACGTCTTTATCAATCCATATTCCATATCAACTGCTTGGTTTGATGATAATAACTTGTCTAGATCATATATTCTCACTGTACCTGCTTGCCAGTATCTTTGAAATCCAATGGTGGTTTCCTATTCAACTTATCAATATATCATTCAATGCATCTCTTTCTTCTATTAAAATATACTTCAGAAGGACTTGATATCGCCAGAATATCTCTGCTATCAGTCACCATCGCTCTACACAACAAAAACAGGTTGAGTTTAGTACGACACTAAACTTTAAAAGCGAGATCACAAGTTTTGTGGCGGAAACGTGCGATTCCGACTTTCAAGCGTATTACCTTCCAAATTGCTGAAACTCCCTTACACCAACCATCGTCCATTTCAGTTGATTGGCTCTATCAAATGCATATATCTTGCCTACTCTTTGTTTTCTACCTTGGCTATATCCTGGTGCAGAGATTATCAACATATCTTTCACAAGTAAAATCGTTTCCCCAAAATGGTCATAAGAGGCTGGATCCATATTGGGATTCTCGATGATGATGTCAGGTTGTACAAGAACTGAAGCATAATCACGTCGGCTTTTAAAAAAGTACACAATCCCTGACTAAAAAAAAAAACTTGTATTAGTGGCTTTTCTTGTATGTAAGATGTATGTAGACTTGATTTTTTCTTTTATCTTTTTTACCTGAAGATAATCATTAGAAGGACAGAGGGGACACCCAATTACTAAATCAAGATGTCCATCTTGGTCTATGTCGATAGCAGCCAATACGGTGCCTTGAAACGGGAGTTCAATCTGAACGCTGGGTTCTTCGGAGAGACCAATCCCCTGTTGTCCAAAATAGATGAACACCTGCCCTCCATTCTCCGTGGGGCAGGCAACGGCTAAATCATCAACGCCATCCTGATTGAAATCAACCGTGACCATAGCCCATCCAAAAGTTCCTTCTTTCCCAGCCAGAACAGTCTCGGTTAGTTTAGTCAGATCCTGCTGAGTACCAGAGAGCGATCTCTGGACAGTATTGTTGACAATAAAGACGGTTCCTGCCTTGTCATGATAGGGGGCTGAAATCGCCGTGTCAAGCTGTCCAGTAGCACCAAAGTCCCCAAGCACAGTCTGATGACCTACCCCAGACGGCCAGGACGGAATGGTCAAAGTGACTAAATCTTCCAGTGATGTGCAGCGAGAGGGAAATAGACGGACAAAGGGCGCTTGAAGCATGGCCTGATACATGCTTTGTGTTACAATGATGGGTGTACCATACTGACTTTCCTTTTGACGATCACTATTTTTCATTGCTGTTGTTAGCGTCAGGACACCTGTGGCTGGGTCATATTCTGTTTCTATCTTGTTATTGTCTTTAAGTTGCTTTATCGAATTGTGCAAACACCGTGGCTGGGGTGTGCTGCTTTGGTCTCTCAGTGTGTTAAAATAACTAGCGCAGAGAACATCTGGTTGACCATACGCTATACCATGTTCAAAGCCATCGATCATTTGCGAATAACATTCAGATACACTTTTTGACATGTCATGTATACCTGAATGGCCCACAAACATTAATATATTAAATCAAGTGTATTCTTGAACACATACCTCCTCTGTAGTAATCGTACAACTCTTCTACTAAAAACGGACTCCTTGCGCCATAGACACCAAACATCCATTGTCCAAATTCGGCATTTATTTGTGCAGCTGCATAAGCAGCTGTCATACAATATTGTATGTGTTTCTCTGAGGGTATCTTTACAGAGGAATCTATGTATAATCTTTTATATATTTCAACCAAATCCCTCGTGGGAACCTTCCACGTCTCATTTAAATAAGACAGCCGGCTCGAATGCCGTAATGTAAACTCTCCACCTGTGTCAGCAGCCATATGTGCCTCTTCAAAATTTCCATGAAAATCTGAATTTGCCAAGGCTACAATGAAGTAATCTGACAACCCGCCTAGGCTATGCCATTTGACATCTGCCATACCATGAGACATGGTAGATAGAATGAATGATATCAGCCCCTTATAATCAAATCAGTCCATAACTCAGTTCTCTAAAAAAAAAGCAGTCATGACACATACCTTCACATGAGGGTTATTATGGAATTCAGATTTAGGGTATACTTCTCGAACATAATTTACTGCTGTCTTTATAAACGTTGGCCAATGCGCTTGTTATTAAAAGCATCATGAGTTTCTTGCATTTTTTTTTATTCTTCTTCTTGTGTATCTTACCATCTTCTGACTGCTGATTATAACCAAGACAGTTGTATCCCCTTAAGAATTGTTAATACTTACTCAATTTTTTTAATTGCTTATTACCAGTCAGGGAAAAAAGAACCTGCCTGTGAATATCCAGGGGAATCAAGAGCTGTCTGTTTATATGTTCGATATAACTCATTCTCAGGCTTAAATCGATTTAGGGCTTGATAAGTCACTTCATTATGGACAGCACTAATAAAAAAAAAGTATATGTGTATAAGGGACCAATGAAGTCACTTTTCTTATTAATACCATATTACATTCCGCAAGAATCTACCAAGGTCCAAAATTGCAGCAACATGAAAAGAAACCAGCAAGGAATGGCCATGTTCGAAATGAGTAAAAGTTAGGCAAAGAAAGAGAGGGAAAGAAAGAAAAAATATAATTTTATCAAGAGCTTTGATTTTATTCGATAAGCATTTGGCTAAATAAAGTTAAAGCATCTGGTCAGATTACCGCAGGATTCTCCTAGTCATTTCTGGTAGTCATAAATTCAATGCGACTATAGTCACAAACTCAAGTGACATCGATGTGTGTGAGAGTGTAATGCATCAGAGGGTATGATGGACAGGTTGCCCAATTCATTCATTGACTGTAGTATTGAGAACTGATTTGCATTCCTCTTTATTAGTTTTTCTTATTTCATTAAAAACAAATAGTTTAGAGTTTAGGCTCATTTATGTCATGAATTACACCTAAAAAGTTACTCCTTTATTTGACTCTGTCATTTACAGTGCCTTACAAAAGAACCAAATATGAATCCAACGACTATAATCTTGGATGTGTGTGCACATGACTTGCTTGTACACCACTCAAATGAGTAAGAAACACTGAGAGAGAGAAAGGACCAATTATGCGTCCAAGTCGTACACAAGATTAAATTGTTATTGTGTGTAAGGTACGCACAAATGCAAATGCTTATATTAATAAGCGTTACCTTATTCCTGTTGCATGAATTAATTTACCAACTGCATGGATACTCCCCAAGTCACATAGTGTGTCTTTTTGATCTTTTTCCATTTAGCAAGGCCCTGTACTTCTCTATCATGCTCAGATGGTTCATTACTGATATAAACATCGTTTGTCAGGTTAATAGAACATGAGGCAGATCAAGGTGTCCTAAACGAGGTTTTTTGTCATGTTTCATCTTTTGCTACAGTCATTGAGTGGTCATGAACAGCCGTTTAGATTCTTTAATCATACTCCAAGGTGACTTTTAATATTCCTCAGAGAAAAATATGTCAGTTATTTGATGCTATTTAAAAGTATAAAGACCGTATTTATATTACGTAGGTCGTCTTTACAGTGTGCAAAAGTATTTAATTGTTTTGTGCCCAGGATGCCCTCAAATCTCGGTTTAAAAATCTCGGCTTATTCCTGACGTAGGTACAATAGTCTCTCTCTTAAAACGTCTGCATTTTTTTTTCTACAACCATTCTCTCACGAGGCATAATAAGATGATGATACATATGTGAGCTCAAGGTTTCATAGTGCCCAAAAGGTAATTCATGGCCTCTGTCATTTTCATTGACAACATAATTATGTTTCGTAGTAATAAAAGCATTAAAATATATACGCGGTAAAACTCTTTGAGTGATGTAAAAAGGAGGGTAAGAAGGTTAATATAGCTAGGTAGCTCCTTGTAGATCAAGCATTGTGCGACAAAGATTTTCTACTCTTGTATTCATTTTTAGGAGCTGGTTTTAATTTATGCAAAAAAAAAGAGTGCACGTATCGCATAGTTATAGTTCCCATTGTTACGGTTGATATGCAACACAACTAAGCATACGGATGTATTGTGTTCCTGACATTGAACAGCCAGTTACGATGATTGTTTGGTTTACCATGCTTTAGAATTGATATAATCCATTACCGAGCATATGTTGAAGTGTTCCTGAATCCTCAGTTTGCATATGACTTTGCAGTAACTAGTGATCTGGGCATTGGACGCATGTGTGGAATGCAATTTTGTTTATTTACGGAAACACCGATATGGTTCATCACTTTACTACCGCGTGTACGTCATTTGTATATGAAAAAAGAGAAAACTCAATGCCTCCTTTATAACAGGTTTTGAAATGACCAAAGTGATAAAGTAATAGATCCACTCTCCCTCCTTTTTTCCTAAAATTAGCTATAAATTGTCGTCGTTTCTTCCATCTTCTTTCTTTCCCTCTTTAGAATCTACTCATGTTACTTTACTCATCTTCTTTTATTTCATTTGCGGTCTTGTTAACAGCAACAGGTATATCTGCTGCCAGTTTAAGAAAAGACCTGTCGTCTGTCTGCGCTGCTTCCAACCCAAGAGCACAAAGAGTGAAAGAATCTTTTATATATGCTTTGGATGGTTACAAAAAGTGTTCATGGGGTCATGATGAAACCTTGCCGGTAACCTGTCAATTCTCTGACTCAAGGTAAACTAAAAAAAAAGGAGAATAATGAATCAAACAAGATTAACTCACTTTATAAAGAAATGGCTGGGGAGGTATAACCAAATTTAACCAAAGTGGTCAATTATATAGATTACTGATTTGTTGCTATAGCTACTCTCGTTGATGGTTTAGATACTATGCTCATCATGGGTTTGGAAGATCAATACGAGGAGAGCTTAGATTTTTTAAGGACGGTGGACTTTACGGTATCCAAAACGCCTTCTAAGGGATTCGAGACCAATATTCGGTACCTTGGAGGCTTGCTAGCAGCAAACGATTTGGAACCCAATCCTTTGCTTGTAGAAAAGGCTGTTCAACTCGCGGATGCTGCATTGGTTCCTCTATTTGTTGAAACCAAGAAAGGTACTAAAGTGAAGGTGCCCTATACTAACATGGACCTAGAGACGTAAGTTTAATATTCATTCCTTCTTCTCCTTTTCTGGTGACTAATTTATTCTCTGCGGGCTTTAGTGGCGAGCCTATCCCTGATAAAGAGATCAATCTTGCTGAATTTGGAACATATACTATGGAGTTCACTCGATTATCCCAAGTTACTGGAGATCCAAAGTATGAAAAGCTTGCTATGGACCTTGTACGCGCTGCTATTGAACAGCCTACAAAGATCCCTGGTTTATTCCCAAACACGTGGAGTGTCGATCCTTTTGAACCTGTCCAGTCTAGTAAAATTATTTTTATTATTGTTAAAATATCTTTATTAATATTTGTTAATAGGTCTTATTAATGTTGCCGGCGGTGGCGATAGTTTCTATGAGTATCTGATAAAGAACTACCTCTTGCAAGAAAAAAAGGACGAGAGTTTATTTGAAACATGGCAAGACTCTGTTGAAAGCATGGAAGAATATATGCTTTCACCAACAGCTGAGGACCCCTCTATTCAGTTTGTATCAATGATCAGTAACAGCTCTGTCTATTATGTCTCGCAAGAACTGGTAACAATCATCACTTATCTTTTGACTGCCGTTATCTCATGTATTTCAATGTAGATTTGCTTTTGGCCAGGCAACATCTTATTAGGTGCAAGCCAACTTGAGAATCATTACAAGAAGAGAAAATATAGAAAATTCGCCGACACCTTTTTAAAGTCGTGTGTTGAAACTTGGTTAAAGACCAAAACAGGCATTTCTCCTGAAAGTTGGAGATGGACACCCAAGGATAAAAGTTTGGAGACAAAGCTCAATACATTGTTTGATAACACGTTAAAGAGTGCACACCCTGATGAATCTCAAAAGTTTAAGCATGACTCTCAGAGACCGTTCACTATTGATAACGCTATTTATGATTTACGCCCAGGTAATTGTTATTCATCAAGTCTATATTAAAGCGAATGACTAAATATGCTTGTAACAGAAACAATTGAAAGTATCTTTTATTACTATCGTCTCACAGGAAATCAATATTTCCAGGTATAAATAATATACATATTTATAAAGAGAGACAACAAGGCTAATGGCTCTATTTGTATGCAGGACCTTGCATGGAAACTATATTTGGCTATTGAAAAATACACCAAGACAAAGTATGGATATACAGCTATTCATAATGTAGATGAGGCACCTTCTCCATTAGAAAATTTCCAAGAAAGGTAAGTTATTCCATTCATCGAGAGCTTTATCTCATCTTTCTATAGTTTTCTGTTTGCTGAGACCTTAAAATATCTCTATCTTATTTTTGCCAGTGAAGATTGCATCTCTCTGGATGAATATGTGTTCAATACCGAAGCTCATCCTTTCAAGTTACCTCAACCCATTTCATATCAACTTTAAAACTAATAATAAAGAAAAGATTGTGTGTAGAAGAATCCTTTTTTCTTTTTTAATAATAAAATATATTACAATTCTGGTCTATGCTGTTTCTCTTTTTTTTTTCTTTACATAGTCGCCATTCTCTTCTTTTCATCTATGCTTATTTACCGAGTCTCTTTCTCAAGGCACGAGTTCTCTTTCTTAATTTTTTATGTTTGTGCTTGTTCATCTTCAAACGACGTTTTCTAAGTACACTTGTCAACTCTAGTTGTTCTTCAACGCCGGTAAGGGGTGTGGTGATAGGTTGAGGAGCTGGTGGTGCAGAGAATGGACGAAGGCGAGAAACATAATCCGAAATACTGGCAGCAGCTTTAGTCTCTTTGACGTCTAATGAATGCACAATTAGTTTGTGAAGCATATTTGCTCAACACAGCTCATGCTTACTGTGACCCAATAGTTGAATGCTTTGTGCGTTGTGAACTGTAGGAAGAGTAGAAACAGCGCGCTGTGTATTTCCAGCCCATGTGGGAATGATTGCTCTACGAACAATATGTAAAAATGAATGACCAGAGAGCACTCTTGACAGCATAGCGTAAGGAAAGAGGGAAAAAAATACAATGGCCCTTGGAAGTTTTGATTCACATAAGCCACCCCTGGCGGGTGCGTCCTGGGGGGTGCAATAAACGTGTTTTACTGCAGGCGGACCATGTTCGGTCCGGAAACTGCAGAAGCTCCTACTTTTTTTTTATATGCCATGGTAACGAGAGTGTGTGGGGGGAGAATAAGGTCAAAGAAGCTTCACGCAACGGGCATAGCTCCTTCCTTTTCGTTGCAATCTTGATAGACCATGGTACGATAGAATATAGAGAGGATGGATGATAGATTATGGATGGATGAACTAACGACGTTTATTATTGTTTAGTCTCTTGTCGTCCCCGAGAAAAATCACGTATGTTATTGTGTACTTTAGAAATGTCAATAGAAAAACTAAATCTTTGTCTAATTAACAGTTCCAACACATTCTCCGTCTTTTGAACACCAACGTTGACGGTCGTGTCAAGATTCAAATTGCTTTGACTTCCATCAAGGGTGTTGGTCGTCGTTTCGCCAACATTGCCTGCAAGAAGGCCGATGTTGATCTTACCAAGAGAGCTGGTGAACTTTCTAGCGAAGAATTGGAACGTATCGTCACTGTTCTCCAAAACCCCACTCAATACAAGATCCCCACTTGGTTCCTTAACAGACAAAAGGATATTGTTGACGGCAAGTCCACTCAAGTCATTTCCAACGTTCTTGACACCAAGTACCGTGAAGATCTTGAACGCTTAAAGAAGATCCGTGCTCACCGTGGTCTCCGTCACTTCTGGGGCGTTCGTGTCCGTGGTCAACACACCAAGACTACCGGTCGTCGTGGACGTACTGTTGGTGTCTCCAAGAAGAAATAGTAAGTGGATATAGAGAAAAAGGGGGGAAAGACTAAAAGTTGCTAATTGTATTTTTAGAACATCTTTTGTGTCTTTTTGGCATCCATTTGAATGTTGCATTTTAAATGAAAATAAAAAGGACTGTTTTAATTCAATTGATTATTGGCAAAGGTCCAATATGCCTCTTGTTTTGACACATCCAAGGAATCCTTTGAACTTGTTTCAGGCTTTCTCTTACGGTAATATGTGCCCGATTGGATATTATCACTTGTTGCATAAAACACATAATCATCTGTAGCTTCTTGTTCACTAGTTGCAAAACTCATCCAAGGTAGAACGTATTTCATGATCAATCTTAACATGAAGCCAGAGTGACGATTTAGCTCTGTTGAAGGCACAAAACCCGGACAGAAAGCAATCACAGGGATCTGTGGATATTTGCGAGACAGGCAATACGCGTTCCACAGCGTGGCCAACTTGGATATGCGGTAATACCTCATAGAGTCCCAATTGTTGGCCGTTGTTCCTCGTAGATCCTCTATCTGCACATCTTGTGGAATACGCGATTGTTCTGTTCTGCTGCCTCCGACCACGTTTGGATCGTGGAGCGTGGATGTGACGAATACGATCTTTTTGGCTGGATTGTTGCTTTTCTCTATAAACGGCAGCAGTAGCTGGTTTAAGTAGAGTGGTGCGATAGCGTTCATAAATACTGTTTTTTCTACGTCACCTACTCTCTCAAATTGAGATGTTAATCCACCTGCGTTGTGTATGATCACGTCAAGACAATTCAAATTGAATGTTGTTAATCTCTCCATTGCAGCTTTTATCGTCTTTAATTCAGTCAAATCCAAGACAAGTTCAAATAAATTTTGGTTACGAGCAGCATCTCTAACAATCCATTTTCTAGCATCACTCAAGGTCGACTGTGAACGACCGGTGATGATAACAGTATGACCTTGTTCAATGAATTTTTTAGCAGCCAGTCTTCCTAAACCGCTTGTGCCTCCAGTAATCAAGATAAACATTGCAAAAGAAAAAAGCAACACAGAGCACTTGATTTACGCCCACATATAAATCAAAAATGTGCAGCAACAAAAGTATGCATCGTTTAATCTGTTTGATACATTTTAATAAATATCAAAAACTGTTTTTATTGTTTCTTTAATTTACAACATAAATGATTTGTAGAAGGGAGGTAGAATGACTAGTGATGCGTGGGAAAAAAAAGGGATTGAATAACCCGAGCTTTTTAGTAACGGTAGTGGTCAGGCTTGTAAGGACCTTCAGCAGGGATACCAAGATATTCGGATTGGACATCAGAAAGAGTGGTAAGCTTAACACCGAGCTTTTCCAAGTGGAAACGAGCAACTTCTTCATCCAACTTCTTGGGAAGAACGTGAACACCAACGGTCCACTTTTCGGGTTCAGTCCAGAGAGTGATTTGAGCCAAAACTTGGTTACAGAAAGAGTTGGACATGACGAAAGAGGGGTGACCAGTGGCACAACCCAAGTTGACGAGACGACCTTCAGCCAAAAGAATGATGTGCTTACCGTTCTTCATGGTGAAACGATCAACTTGAGGCTTGATGTTGACAACGGAGGCAGCGTTGGCCTTCAACCAGGCAACATCGATTTCAACGTCAAAGTGACCAATGTTACAAACAATGGCATCATCCTTCATGGCTTCAAAGTGACGACCGACAATGATATCGCGACAACCGGTGGTGGTGACGAAGATGTGAGCTTCTTGGACAGCTTCTTCCATGGTAGTAACTTCATAACCTTCCATGGAGGCTTGGAGAGCGTTAATAGGATCAACTTCAGTGACGATGACACGAGAACCGAAGGCACGGAGGGCAGCAGCACAACCCTTACCGACATCACCGTAACCGGCGACAACGGAAACCTTACCGGCAATCATGACATCGGTGGCACGCTTGATGCCGTCGACGAGGGATTCACGGCAACCGTACAAGTTGTCAAACTTGGACTTGGTAACGGAGTCATTGACGTTGATGGCGGGGAGCTTGAGCTTACCGTTCTTGAACATCTTGTACAAGTTGTGGACACCAGTGGTGGTTTCTTCAGAGAGACCCTTGATACCAGGGATCAAGTGAGGGTACTTTTCGTGGACAATGTTGGTCAAGTCACCACCGTCATCCAAGATCATGTTCAAAGGTTGACCGTCAGGGAAGAAAAGAGTTTGCTCAATACACCAGACAAATTCTATATATATTGTTTAGTTATGCTCACTTTTTCTTGTCTCAGTAGGCTTACCTTCATCAGTTTCACCCTTCCAAGCATAAACGGGAACTCCGGAGGCAGCGATGGCAGCAGCAGCGTGGTCTTGGGTGGAGAAGATGTTACAAGAAGACCAAGTAACTTGAGCACCAAGAGCAATCAAGGTACGGATAAGGACAGCAGTTTGAATGGTCATGTGCAAGCAACCAGCAATTCTGGCACCCTTAAGAGGTTGAAGAGGACCGTATTTGCGGGCAATTTCCATCAAACCGGGCATCTCATTTTCACTATGGACAGTTCATTAGCAAACTATTTTCTCATACATATCCTTTTGTCTAAACTTACGCAATTTCGATTTCCTACAGATTGAAGAAAAAGAAAAGAACAGAGTCAATGTTGATGAACCTAACAATAAGTGATAAAAAGTAATACCTTCAAACCGAAAGCAGCTAAATAAAAACAATAAGTAAACCAATAGAATCAATCAATAAAATCTATTACCAAGTGAGATATCAGCAACCTTGTAAGGGATCTTTTCAGACATATTTAATGATGTTTAAAACAGAAAAAAAGAAAAAAAGCCTAACGCGTATTTAACAGCGATTTCTTTTATTGTGAAGCCTGAAAAATTTTACTTTACTCTTCCAATGAAAATCAGGGATCTGGGAAAAGCGGCCTTAGTCTCCGCTTTTTTACTGGGTGATCATTTGATGAATCTCATCTCCTACTGAGTAGTGTTACATTGTTTACAGTTGAATAGATTTAAAGGCATTGAATTGCCGATGAGCCTAATGTAACCTTGATGAAAGAACTAACAAGTGGCGGGCGCCTATTTGCTTAGACCCCTTTTTGATCAATAACCCTAAATAGATTCATTTTTCATTGATGAGGAAATAGTATGTTCTATCAACCATGAAGGGAGGGGGGAGGTGTATTACTGATAGACTATTGATAAGCATTCTCTTTAATGTACCCTCTAGGAGACAATAGCCTGCTGATGTCATGTCGTGTGTAATCAGCCAAGTATGTGGTAAAAACACTCGACTATAAAAAACGGAAAGAGAAGTGACAATTCTTGTTTTATTCAGGATTCAATGGCATCATAGAAAAATCCTGATCCTAGCCCAGGAGGAACAGGTGGAATTTCCACTGCGCCATGTGGGATCTCTACTCTGTCGCCTGCTATCTGAAGTAGCTTTACCTTGACGCCTACTTCAGTTAAAGTATGGAAAAGTTCGGCTGTCTCTTTACTTATGAATCGATTGTCCAGTAGCATACTAAAGCCATCCTTCCATTCCGCTGCTTCTTTTGCTGAAGAGCAATGGAATTCAGCTAGTGGCAGATTTTTGTCATTGTATAATGCAAAGGATAGATTTGTATTACTACTACTACCATTTAGACTACTACCATTTAGCAGATCGATAGATGACCCTGTTATTGAGGAAGCTGCGGTTGTATTGTGAGAGAACCCAGCTGATGAGAACTTCCTTATCGGCCTTATTTCATGCACTGCGCTAAGGTCTATACGGTGAGGTAATTTGTCATAGTTTCGCAAGACAGGCGCAATTCGCTCTGAAAAGTCACCATACATGATGCATTTTTTAGAAGCACTAAGTTTATAGTATCTCCATTTTTTCCCTGATGCTGTTGATGGTGCATTCATACCGAGTGCATTATTTGATGATGTTGACCCAGAAGATGGAGTGGATAGTAAAGGATTATTATTACTCACTATCACTGACATTCTGGGAGTAGCAAGCGGACTAGGAAACCATGCACCTTCAAGTAAGCAGCTTATTCGCTGCTTTTTCAAAAATTCGTAGGATTGTTTAGAAAGTCGTGAACGTAAATTACTGGTTCAAGATGAGTTAGAGGCGCGAGATCACTTTACTTTTTTCTTTATTTTACCTTATCGCATCTCTTCCTAATAGATCATCTGCCCACTCCAATTCCTTCAATCGACGGTCACGGATCACTTGATAAGGTGTACCAAACATACTCCTGTCAAACTCTTGGACATCTTTTACTGCATCGTTATTAAGTGTGGATCGAAGCTGACTGCGTACGAGTGCTGATACTTTGGAAAAATCATAAGTGGAAGCTTCCATGTCATGAAAAATTCTGAAAAAGGTTTGTAGTGTGGTAGCATGAACATGGTCAAATTCGAGTATAAGCGGTTGAAACACAGCTGGTGTATCTAAAAGAGCAACCGTTAAGCTCTTATTGATTCACAATGGCTTTCTAACTTACTGGAAGAACTCACGTTCCAGTGGCTACATAATAGATCAGTCACTTCAATACTGGCCTTTGCAAAGGGACATCTTTTTCCGTCTGGCCTATGAATTTGTTCCAAAATTAGCTATGAGCATAGCGCGTTTAGTTAAAAGAGTTGTCTGTGCTATCTTTTTTTTTTTTTTTTTTCTACATACTTTTGAAAATAAACCCTGATTATTCATTACAAAAGAATGCATTTCCTCAAGGCCAAATACACCAGTTCTTCCAAATTCTCTTTGGGGAACTTCAGACTAGACATAATATGAGTCTTTTTCTTTTTCTTTATCTCTTTGCTTACCGAAAATCCAATCTTTTTCCATTTCTTGAGTCCAGGTACAGCTATGCCATCCACTTTGGCAGCATTCCATATATCCTTTAACATACTGACATGATAAGCATTATATGTTGAAACCGCCACATTATGTCGCTTATTGATATTTTGAAGATATACAGTTTGGTAATCTAGTATCATGAGCTTTAATGCATCCGTAGGATGATTCTTCATCAACCTCTAAATTATCTATAGTCAGAACAGCAGCAAAGACTGAACATCAAAAAACGTACCAAGACATTCTTTTTTAAATTGGATTTTTCAAAAGTATTTGACAGCTCACTTCGATACTCATCTGTGACGTGCCTTAACATGGCTATCAGTAGAGATAAGCTTGCTGTTGATAACAAGTATTCTGGACTTAACAATCGCTCGACAAGTGTCTTTATCAAGTCAGGCTCCCTTTGCATTGCTCTGTGAATTGTAGGGTATCCGAAGCAGTCGATGGCTGGTTTTGTTTCTCCTTCTGTATTTTTGTTGGCACATACGAGTTTTTCGAGAATAGCTATGGCAGGACGTGCGATTGTCGATAAAGGTTGAGTGACTACAATATGAGTGATGATGGCAACGAAGTCGTCATCGAGTGTTTCCCAGCCAGAGTTATGCTCCATTAAGGAAAGAAATGAGTTGAGAGCATAAGCTAAAGTGTTTCCACTTGAGTTTCGAATGATTTCGCATAAAGAAGCAAGACCTCCTCTTTCCAGAAATTCAGTTGCAAAATCCTTTTCCTAAATGGTGTATCAGAAATAGTCCTTCAATTAAAGAATTACTGGTTTTTTTACTTTCAAGTATCGCTGAAGAGAGAATGTAGTGATTTTTAAGGATTTGTCATCCATAGGTGTCAGTGGTTGATTTGTATATTCTGATAGACTAAAGCCAGAAGAAAGCCTCTTGACGAGGTATTCTGCTTCTTGAGGTGAAGGCTGTTTGTCCAGATCATATGCTTGTGCCATTACAGCTACTGATAAAAAAAAAGTGGGAAAATAAAGTTAACACGTGGTGAGTGATCCAAAACAGTGTCTTTAAGTGATCGCTTAAAGAAACTAAATTATTTATCCGGCGCACAGACGCATAATCACTGTTGCAGCCCTTTAAACACATTAACAGTGAATGCAGTTATTATTGTTCAACCTCTTCTATTCTCTATATAGAGCAATAAGAAGTATCTCCAAGGTACCTATAAAGTTACAAATTGCATTCTACATCAATTGCTACGCAACCGCATTTGTATGTCTAGGACGTAAAATGAAACCATGATTACAGAATAAAAATCAAGGTATATATCACAACGGATTGCATAAAATGAGACGTAATCTACATGACGTGTAACCAGCACATCAAGCTTTATTATCATTATATTGTTATTTACAATGGTTACAGAACAGTTGTTGTTAATTTGAAAATGAATAAGAGGATGATGAAGAGAAGGAAGACTTAGGTCTTGGTGTAGATATTGAGTGTAGAAAGCGTTTAAACCTCTTTGCTAAGGACTGGAAATGCTTTTCTGTTGAATTAGGTTGTGGTGATGAGCATGGCAGAGGTAAGGGCAACGTTGACCTTTGATCTGCTGAAAAATTAATTGGTTGACTATTTTCAGGTATAGTCAAATAATGCTTGGCTAGTGAACTACTACTCTTGCCTTGCAGTATTGGATCAGAATTGGCAAAATAGGGGTTGCAGTATATAGAGGACGATTGAGTAGACGAAGTTGTTGTTGCAACCTCTCGAAGCATGAATTCAGAAGAATATATATCAAGTTCTGTAAACCTTGAAGTGTATGAGGACATGTGAAGAAAAGCCAGAAAAAAATAGTCTTTCTTTTTTTAAATGATCTTATACTGTTCGCCAATTGAACTTTTATCCATGACACCACACCAATGTTTGTGTTTCAGACGATCACTGAATAGTAAACCCCTTAGGTCTGAAACACTTTTGAAGTCAGTTTCTATTTCTGACTTAGAAACCAGTGTTTTTCTCAAGAGTAGAACAGTGGAAGATAAATAGAATAACTGTCTAATTGTTGCATGTATTACATTCTACAGTAGGATATACTTTGCTGCAGTGTGCTCCACTTATTGCTCTGAAGCCGTTGATGTTTTAAAGCTTGTCCTATTTTTTATCTCTTTGCTTTCTATAAATATAACTTTAAGATCTCTATGACCATAAAAAGAATAGTTAAAATAGCAATTTCATCCGAAAATAAAGAAGCAATGATCAACATCATATCTTCATCGTGATTGGTGATTCTGACTGAATCTTATACTAATGCCTGGGTTGTCAATTCATCATTGACAGCAATTGAGACATGCTACAGGGAATTCTAAGACTACAATGACATAGCATACATACAAGTGTCTCTTTGAGAAACAGTTGATTCTCATTTTACATTATACTACATAACTTACGTCATAGTCAGATTTACAAGATACAGCAGAAGAGCTGTGGATACTATTGGTCGTCACCAAGATTGTCTTCTGTTCTGAAGCTACATTTTGTCGCTTTCATTCTATATTGATTTATAATAGTATATAATGAGACTAATACGCAAACTCTTTAAATATTTTAAACTACTTGCACCAAATCTTGCATAAGCTTGGCACTTGTGGGCAACAAATGTGAGGGTAAAGTTATACATGTGTTGGATTCTTAAAAGCTTTACTCAGAGGATACTACTTCACGGAAAACTTTTCAAGTAAAAGCTAAAATGGGTAGTTGTTTTACAGAGATGTTAATGGATTACTAGCACGGTCTTTTAGGGAACGACTGCTACTTGATTCAAATGATAAGATATTTTGGTAATGTAAATATAATATAAGAAAGCATACAGGTAGACATCAGATAGAGTATTGATGCCCTACTATACGGTTAAAGACACTTTATTTATAAAATATATATGACCGTCATGTATACATGATGATTCTATTGTGTCGCTCTGCCCTGGACAGCCCAAAGAATAAAAGAAGTATCTAAAAGCCCCTCGAGCTCGAGGGTGAAAATGTTGTGGCTTGGAGAGAGGGACAGAGAAGTGGATTTTAAGAAGGGAGGGGTATATGAGCATATGTCGCCTACACCTTAAGCAAAGAAAGGGTGTCAAATAAACTTTATAGCGGTTTGCTACATAAACAATTGACAATCTTTTCCTATCTCTAATAAAATGATTGTCCTATTTTTGTAGGCTCTTCTTTCTATATGCAAAATTCGAATGTAAGGTTCTCAAAGGTAAAAAAATTTTCTTTTTCCTTTTCTTCTCTTCTTTGTAATAGTAAGGCAACTACATAAAGATATTAAACTGGAATGGCCTTGAAGCTACTGTCGTATTTACCATATAAATACTTAATCTTGTCGTATGAGGTTACTATAAATCTATACTCTAAGAATGAATAATACAAAGATACTGACAACAGTACATGTTATTAACATATAACGCGATATGCCCAACTATTATTGGACATAGTTAAATCGGTTCCTTAATAATTCTATCTTCATATAAAATGACGCTGTTTGTAATAACGAGCTCTCCCTCGTCTTAATATACAATAAAGAGGTTATATTGAGACTCATCGACGCACATTTCCCTTATTACCTCTTTATATATTCGAGACATATCACAACTACGCTTCTATGGCAAATACTTTAGAATACTAAGGTAAACTGAAACCATCCATTTATTGTGAAAGCAAAGGGGACCTTTTATTGACTACTGGCTTTTAGCAAAATGACTCTATCCTGGTAGTGATATCCCAGCTCTCATGGCTTATAATTTGGTGTCTTTTGAGGAACACAGCTGCTATCTTAATCATAAGAGAACATGTCGCATAGTCACTATAAGAAGTGTGCTGCTCTATACCACCACAGGCTAAAAGGAAGTGGCTAGGCGTTTTCCTACGTTCATCACGTTAATCTCAGTTACATTATACAAAATAGTAGAAGAGAAATGTACACAAATGAAAAGAGAATACTATCATTAGAAAAGCCATGAAGCGATTTCAAGCTTATAGCATCAGCGACAGGCGCTTATACGAGAGATCTCTTTTACCCGATTCAACCCATAAAAAGATACACTTGCACAGAGAGGGCTTTGTTACATGTAAAGTGCGTACGACAAAAGCTGTCATGGAAGCCATCTCATAAGCTTTAGCTATTTAGTAGTTGCTACGAGTTTTTTCATTTATATTAATTTATAGCTCACCCTGTTGCATTGTAGCCACAATCGCAAGGGGCAACGTTTCCGAAGTAATAAAAGAGAGTCACCGAAGTAACTTTATAAAAATTGGGATAAGCTATTCCCTCCCTTCTGAGAGAAAAGCCACCTACTTCTTTAAGCATCATAAAGGTTACTATCAGAATCCGGGCAAACCGGAAAAGCTTGAGAGAAAAAATAGTGAAAAAAGGCCTTCTTTTATACTTTTTTGTCTGTTTACATCTGTGACCTTAAAAAGAGAAAAAAGGGATCTTGAGTTAGAACTGGCTGCATGATTTTTTTTTGTTGCTAGGAAACGTGCCTTTTCCCTGACTTTCTATTGGAAGGTATCCATTAAGTTTCAGAGCCTTGACCATGAGGACTTCCTACACAGCAGTGGGCATTGTATGTATAAAAACTGATATGAAGCTACTGTTTTATTAAAAATGGATTTCAGAAAGAGGATAAAACCATGGCGTGTATGAAAAAAATGATTGCGCATATTAAAAAAGGTATTTACGCAAAGGTTAAAAATAAAATACGTGCAAAGGAGATAAATAGCAGACGAAATACAAATAAGGAGAATAGGTAGCAAGGAGAAAATGTATATAAAGAATTATACAGTTAGTTCTGTAAGAAAATCATTATATATAACTTACCCCGAAGACATCTAGATGTGTCCTAGCGATAACTAGGACGGAGAATCATCGTCTAAGCGTGCTCTAACTTTTGGTTGCTCCTGATCGTCCACCCTTCTTCTATGCCTTGTAGGAGCAACAGCAACCCGACGAAACCTATGAGGAACCATGCCATGTCGAAGCCCACGAAGGATGCGCAAGTAGATGAGATAAGCAGCAACATCCCTGTTCCATAAGCGATATCTATCTGGAGCTGCCATGGCGGGCCTACAGTATAGATCGGTGCATCTACAAGCAGTGTTCAATCAGAATAAAGTCATCCAAGTGATTAATGTATTATTACTTTAAAAGACCATGGCAGACAACCGTAGGATATCGCTCACGTTGATACGGTCGTGGATATGGAATACGACGGAACGTGTGGAGACTTTCGTTGTGGCATGTTGGACAGCACCTACTGGTCTTGTACTCGTGTATAAAAAAGAATTAGAACTCATGTTTCTTGAAGAGCCTTCCGAAACCAAGATCACAGATAGGCTCATGGTACCTACCATGGGGAGCGGACCAGTTTCCCATCATAAACACGGCGTCTTCTCCAAACTTGGCGCGTAAGTCTTGGATAAGCTTTCGATCGGCACGTTGTTTGTTGAAGTACGCTGAAAGACGGATCTTGCGAAAGAAAGGGTATCCATTGTCATGGCTTGTGATGGTATGTCCATAGAATCGACTGAGAACGGCAGAATGTTCAGATATAGCTTGAAGGAAGCGGCCAAGGTCTTCTACGAACATGGTGCTGCTTGGCTGTTGATAAAGGGCTTGCTCAGCTTGAACAGCAGCAGGATCCTGGGCTTTGAGACCTTGCAAGATTCGACGATACTTTTTGGTTTTTCGTGTCTCGCCTTGCTGTTGTTAGTGTACCAAAATTGCACTGGTTGCTCTGGTGCAGGGTTTTTATGTACACAATACAATATATCTCTTCTTCCTGGGCCCACAGGCACTCATCAACCAGAAATCTCTTGATGATTTCGACAGGTTAAAGCGGTGATGTAGGAGGTAGCTTCATACTCCACTATGAACCTTGCTGTGTGTCTTGTTTGCCTGTCGAATATCTTCTTGAGAACCGTGACGCCAACGCCATCAGTTTGAATAGTGCCACGGAATCTAAGTTGCCCACCTTCTTGCGGTTTGAGGGCTTTTGAATCAAGGTTGACAACTCGGCGCCAGGAGCCCAATTTATCGACAGCATTAGACCATTGAATTCCCAGGATGCTTTGGCAGAGAATCTTACTGTCGATGATAACGTAACAAGGAGACCATGAGCGATGGAGAGAAAAATAGTTGAAGACGGGCAAACAACGATGTTCAAAGAGACGAGAAAGTTGATAGATAGCCTTAAAGTGGTTTACAGGGTTACGCATGACATCATAATAAAGTCCCCATTCGCCAAAGTTGTAGCCTTTACCATAAATATCAAAAACAGGCTGAAGAGCTTCAAGAGCTTCTATGTAAATAGGTCCTTGAGGGAAATTGTTCCATATTAATAGGCTGCTGCGAAATAGCTTGCTTGAATATCTGCGCTGATAGAATAATGTCTTGACGTATTTGGCGCTTGATTTCGTCATCATCCATACTTTGTTCAGGCAGATCTTGTCTCAAATCTGCCGTTTGTTGCCATATGGGAAGTAAAGCGTTGAAGGCGCGTCAAAGGTGCTGGCCAAATCTAAGGTGAGCGATCTGTAGTGCATCCTCTGACACCGATGGACATTTGAATATATTCTTAAGTGAGGCCTTTGGAATAGGCGTAAGGTACGGGATATTTTATTATTCAACATTCCTGCTAACAGTTCTTTTTATAGAAAGAGTTTCCTGAAGATTCAGCTAAGCAGCTATTTTCAAAGTAGAGATTAATAGTATCCACAACAACGAACACAAGCACTTTTTAGGATACAGTGAAGTGATAGATGGAGGCTCGTATTTTTATGCCGTGCCCATCACAGACGCCAAATATATGTGATCAATATATGATTTTACCGAAGACCTTGTTAATAAGGAAACATCATACGCCTTTGATAAGCAAATAAATTGCCAGTCGCACAAAGGCGCAATGAAAGCCATGAAGAAAGAAAGAAAATAGGAAAGGATAAGCAATGAAATAATCCAGTTGGAGGACGGCGATGGCTATGATGATTGGGATGACCTAGCAACAAAGCTGAATGCGCTTAATGGCCTGGTCGTGGAGGAAGTTGAGGTTGGTATTGTGCAAATCACGAGGATCCTTTCGTTCACATCTGGGGCGACTCAAGATGGAGGTGAAAAAGAAGAAGCTCGTAAATCAAGCAAGGAGTGGTCAACATCTAGCAGCACAGATATCTTCCTTAATGGCGACTGGAATACAACGAAGCGCGCTTCGGATGGCCTGCTGTCAAAAGAAGATATCATCACCGAGCGTGACCATCTGCAAGAGAAAGTCTGTGATGGTACAGAACAACCACTCCAGAAGCCTCTCAAGAATAAGAAAGAGATGCTCCTGGACTACATGTTCGATGAAAAGACTGAATACGGCTTCGAGTCGGCTGTGGCGTACAGACCAACTGGGTATCGCTGCTCGTCAAGTGTCAGGGTTGCAACAGAGACAGCAGCGACGATTTTGAGGGTCCTACAACTCATGGATATGCTTAGCACGAAAAGGAGTAGAGATGAGAAAGAGTATAGGAACCCCCATCCAAGAAGCAAAAAATCGATGCTGCTGGCGAGCTGCAGTCATGCACACTTGCAACTGAAGGTAGCTCCATACCAAAGCTCTCGGCGCTCCAACCACATGGAGACAAATGATATACAAGTACTATATATATAAATATATGGTCAAAGCTTTTATTAACAATAATCTGCAGAGAATAAAAATGATGGTAAGGGGTGTGCTGGAAGCTAGTTTCAGCGTGGAGCGTGATATGCACATATATCAGAGCATCAAGCACCATTTTGTAAGTAATAAATAAACAAGGGAAACAAACAGATGACATAACCATTATAATACTCAAACAGGATAAACTGAAAGTGGTGAAGCATGGAAAACTACATGGCGTCATCCAAAGCCATGTAGCCTTCCATAAGTGTCTGCTGTACTCTGAGCAAAGTATAAGCTACAAAGAAAATTGTGTTCTTGTTTCTATTTTTTTGACTATGAGAAAATAAATGTACGTACAAACTTGGTTTTTAGATGGAAGACTGAAAATAGTATCAGTTTGGCTTGAAAGGACTTTCACGTTTTAGATCTCGAAATATTTTGAATAGAAGGAAGCTTAGAGCCCAGGGATTGGCATCTCTCTTTTAGGAGATATGTACGTGTATTTTTATGGTTCGTGGGAATCAGATAGACAGGTGACTATATAAGGAATGGAACCAACAGACTTGGTTCTTAGAAAAACATGAATTGACCTTTCAAATAAAGAGGATCCCTATATTACCAAGTCTTCGGATTTAAGTATTAGAAATAGTATGATATGAATGCTCTTCAAAAACGTGGTCTTGCTGATTTTAAAACGGGAGATTTCTATTGTAAAACATGGATGGAAACTTGACAATGGTTTAAGAAACACGTTGGATGGTAGCGCAAACAGTGGTGTTACCTATTTATTAAAGCGGGATACTAAAGTTTCTCTATCTTTTGATACAATCACATGTCTTAAATAGTTGATGGAACGTATTCCCGTGTGTGATGACGGCTTTTATAAAGGCTTTTAAAGCCATGGCTCGCAATATACAGATGTATTAGTAAGTGTAACAGCTCGAACAAAGATGAGGTTCCTTCCAAAATAAGTAACTTTACGATTTCATGATCATTTCTTGCGTATCTATCTATTATTCCATTTTGCAAGATATACGGTTTATACTGAAAGTTATTGTAAATCAAAGTAGATTACACGAACATATTGTTGTTACTTTATACGAACTCAATTGATCCCCAAAGGGATCGACATGAAGCTCCCAGTCCATTACTCGGGGCGCGACTTATTGGATAATAAAGCTAGTTACAATGGAGCTGCTCTGTTCCGAAAAAGTGCTCGGAGAAATGTATTAAAAAGACAACTTATATATTTTAGTAATACACAAATCTAGACATCTTTTGTTGTATCAAACCTTGAGTCCCAAAAAGATCAGTAAAATGAATATCACTTTAAAAAATGACGAAAATAACAAACATCAACAAGGGTTGATCAATAACTACTTGGCAAATGCTGATTGCAAGTATTCAAAGAGGTATTTCCCTATAAATGAACATTATGGCCCGTGAATTCAGTGCTAGGATGAGATACAGGATAACCACTTATATTCTGTATCCATGCGATTTAATTTACGAAAAGTTACTCACACTTTTATTATTTAATGTCCATGATTTCCCTTTCATGAAACCATCCCCACACTATGAAGATGGAGATACTATGGATATATTCTTAGGTGCTTGTTATAATGTAGACGGCCAATGTATACAATATATTGCTGTATATATACCATAATCTAGTCATACATATCATTCCCACTCTGAGGGATTTGACATTGTGTCAAAAGAAACTTCCAATTATGGAATAAGGAAAGGATAGCTTAGGGTTTTCAAGGGCTTGTGTTACAAACTATAAGAATGTCACGCCATTTGCGGATTGTTTATCGACAATCATTTGGACTGCGTACAAGTCATAATTAACCTTCCGAGCAGTCTTTTTTTTAAATGATTGCTGATGTATAGATGTGGGAATATAGGTAGATCATAAAATTACTATTGAGATGCAAAGCTATTACCATAATAGTATCATGGTTATTTATAGACACTGTTTTATTTTTAACATCAGTGGGAAATGGCTTAATATGTATCTTTATCGCAGTACGCTATCTCGCAGTAATCGATTCTTTTCTTCTAGATTCAATTGAAAAGCCTCTTCGAAATGTAAGACAGATAATTTGCATAGCACTAATGTCACTTTAAGTTTTGGATTCGTGGACCCATTCACAGAGTGCCACGAGGCTTTGTGTTAATAATTAGCTTACACCAAGGATTGTACAAGCGATAGAGTTGATGTCAAGAGTGAGTTGTTTAGATATAATTAAAGCCCCTCTTTTTTTTTTTTCTGTTTTAACTGAGTTAGCATGCGTCAATTTTTTGTGAAATTCTTCAATGGTAATGGCCACAAACGTAACAAATGCCCGATTTATTAATTCTAAACAAACTGCAGATTTAAAAGCAATTAAAATACCGCAGTGCTTCATAAACGAATCTGTAGCACCCTTGTGTAGAATGCAATATAAAAAAAAACCTTTCGATCAATATGAGAGTATAGCAGCTTTCATTTAGGGAATATATATCTTAGTAACTTGTGCACGGTGTCACTAAATGAGATTATAGTTTCTATTACAAGACACGCGCTTTTGATGTCTAATTCACTATTAAAGAACAGAATGTTTGCTATTAGAAATTGCTCAAACACTATGAGATTTTAGTGCGAATAGTAACAATATATTAACACTCTGGAAGAAATGAGGTAACCAATGGAAATCTGGAGGAGTACAGTTAACGTTATCTCTCCCTTTCATTGTATCAAGTGTAGTCATAGAAATCACCACCATGAGAACATGACAGATCTTGTGATAGTTTGTGGCAATCGAGAAGAGCTAGTTTTTACTCTTTTTGGCCAATGCGTGTAACATGTCAATCATGCTTCCTTGACATTGTCGAATAGTAATAAAAAAAAAGTTATTGTGCTGACAAATGTTCAATTCAAGAGTTTAAACAGATATATCTAATAAATCATAAAGCATTAAAGAATACTAAATGACGTAATGCCAATTTACCTTGAAGGAATAGAGTATCTCAATGGATATTCCCTTTTCTACCGTTGATAATGAACGTGAACTAACTGATCCGTGCAATCGAACACAATGGTTGTACTGGATTATGATACCTCGGTGCTTATCAGAAAAAGGGAAATTTCTAAGGTTGGTAATGAAGACATGGGGGAATTCTAGTGTATCAAATATACAGAATACACACTCCCTTTTTTAATATCTCTTTTTCATTTCCTTTTCTTTTCTTTTTTTACCTCTTTTTTCCTCCTTTTTTCTTTTTCCTCGCTTTTTGCCATTTATACCTTCATTTTATATAAATAATATTTCATAGGCGTACTTTTTTATTTCTCGTCATTCTAAATGAGAACAAGCGCAAAACTCATTGGTAATCTCGTTCATCGTGTAGCGATCCGAGTAAGTTGAGACTTTCACACACACGCTGACTTGTGTGTCGCAGTAAAGGCTAAACATATAATAGTTGCCATATAAATCGGGGCAGCCCATAGAAGCAGTAGAACAAGATCCCATTGTGAAACAAACTGGTGAATAAACGTCTCGCATACAGAAACAAATTGACATTGCTTACCATTTTATGTAGTCGCTGCCCTTATTGAAGTATCAAAGTATAGGCTACCAACTGTAGCAAATACTCTAGGTTATGTATTAGAGAATGTGTCAAAGGTACAACTTTTTATTCAACACATTGCTTACTATATCTCATTTGAAAATAATAATAATGATAATAATAGACACATCAAATTTATGAACAAAATGTACCAGTAGATATTATGCAGTCGAAATTGTTTGTGCTTCGGTTATTATCTGCATGCATGCAACATCATTGGCATTATTACTGCGAGCAAGAAAAAGAAAAACACCCAGAAAGACCATCTAACGAACTTAGACTCAACTTACCACCATTAGATGCGCCGCTTGTGACCTTTATACTCGTCCTAATGAGTCGATATATTACACAGTATCATTTAATAGAAGAAACTAATTCTGAAATAACGCCACGCCCGATATATGATTTCGATGGTACAAAATACACCTATGGACAGATAAAGTTGAGCTTGATCACCGAAATATACAAAGCTTCAGCAAAAATTATATACTATGTCAGTTCAAGTAACTGGGACGCTTGTTACGCCAAAATCAAAAGCGCTGTTTTAAGATTAGGTTCCACACATTCGAACAATACAGAAGATATTCCACCTGAAATCAGAATGTTAGAGTGCATCTGTCTTAATAAAGAAAGACTAAAGATCGTGTTCAAAGGTAGAGATATCTCGATCCATTACTCACTTTAGGCTAACCGTAGATCTATTAGAATTGATCCCATACTATTTGCATATGAAAACACAAGGAAAATTACTATTCTCAAAACTACTGAGGAAATCCATTTGGAGATGGATAGAATTATACCCTGAAGAATTTGCTCAAGTGTGCACTGTTGATGAATTACCCGACTCCGAATTACTTTTCGATATGTGCAACTCTACTGCAGACAATTCGAAAAAACGATCGATCCTTTGGCCATTACAGACTATTCTGATCATACTTTCTCCTGAATTCTTGATGCAGGCCTTTATGGATCAGCCTTCTAGTCGTCGTGTTAATTTCATCCACCTGTTACGGAAAACACTACAGACAACCAAAGCCTTGGATCTTGCGACTGTCTGTTATGTAGATGTTTGTAAAGCAGCAACTTATGTTCCACCAAGTGAAGATTCAATACTACGACTGATGGCAGCTGATGTTGAGACAGATTTGAGGGATAAAGTATGGGATTTTTCAAAAGTAGCGAATGCGGAATCCACCATGCACACGTTGGGATATATTATCGACTATCAAACTTTAGCCACAGATTATCTGTTATCACGTATCAGGCTCGACAAGGAAAATGCAATAAAGACATTGATCCCTCCATGCATTGATGAAAACGCACCTATTATTGTAAAACTGGCCTTGGTAAAATCATGTTTAGCGATTGTGCTGGAAGAGAATCATTTGTCCTGGAACCCTTCTTTGTCATCCCTGTATGATGGAATTTGTGCGCCGCTTCGATCGTTGATGCGACAAACAATCCTACTGGAAATGTCCAAGCAGAAAGAATCAATACTTACGGATCATAGAAGTCGAGTGGAATTATTAGTAGATATGCTCAAGCTTTATAGAACAGACCCATTCTTGGCAGTTTTCGGTGAAGACTCCGATAGAGTTGAACAAAACGGTACATTCATGAATGGACTTGCTACTCTTTTAGTTCATCCTGTAAAAGTGGTGCGACAGGATGCCGCAGATTTGCTTATAAAGCTACATCAACCTGAGATTGCAGCACGTTGGACAACGGACTCAAATAATTTGTATCACTTTTGGAAAATAACTTCTCCTGCTATCGTCACTATTTCGCATCATATGTTGGATACTTCTTTAAAACAGAACATGCAAAGGTTTTTATTGAACGTTACAATAAAATTGCTAAAAACCCGAAGTGTGTATTTAAAGCATAAACAGGTGAGTTTGATCCAGGTGTTAATAAGAGTTGATGTTCATACTGTATACTCTAGGCACTGTTCAATATAGAAACAACAAATGTCAAGGAAAGAACACAGGCATCTATATCATTGGAAATTGCCCTTTTAATATTTTTGTGTTCTGCCCATAAGGAAGTCTGTGATGAAGCATCTGTCTGTATTAGAGTCATGTGTCAGGAAGCAAAAATTGTTGATATATGTGAGGAAGGCCCCAATCAAGCCACTTTAGCATGTAATCTGGAAGTCTATGAAGACCTTTCGGTAGATAATTACAGATTTGTTGGAAGAAAGGCTCAGCAAAAGCGATTTCGAAAGTGTTTACAGATGCTTCCGCATCACACACCAAGTTGCTTCGCAGCGTGGGAAGAAGCTTGGAAGAGATGGCTCATGCTAACACCTTATGTGAATAGACCCCAGGATGGAGAAGCTGAAGAAAATAATAAAGAAGGTACGTATATCATAAAAGGATCTCTACAGGAACATTCATAATTTTGTTATATATACAGGAATGAGCGGAAGTTTCAAAAAGGCTTCACAGGATGGGAAGAAAGATAAAACAAAAAATAAAGAAAGTACCAGCAGTAGCACGATTTCACCGCCTATTAGTAGAGTACAGCAAAATGTGGAATTAAATGAAAACAGATCAATCGAATGGCATAACTTTACAGGATTTTTAGCCGCTCTAGGGGGCTGCTGTCTAACAGAAGAAAAAGATATGGATGAAGTAGTCAGTTTGTCATCGGACTATTCACGAAGAACTAGCAATGAGCCTGTTGCCATGGTGGATGGTTTTATTTTAGAAATGACAGAAATGCTTGTCTCAAATAACGTTTATGTTAGAGAAGGCATCAAGGATATTCTTGGTAATGACCTCTCTCCCACCTTACTAGCAATCTTATTCCGTCATTTGGAAAATTACATGAAAAAACTATTTGATGCAAATGGCAAGGCGATTCGTAACCCACAAAACAAACTCTTTGTTGAGCAATCTGTACTTGTTCTGAGACTCATCTTGGACCGCTTGATCAATCCTAGCGACTGCTTGCTAAACATCGACTTTAGTACTTTGATGTTCCAATTTATAGACTATCTGGATGGTGTGCCCAATACCCATATCACATTGCGTATCAAAATCAAGACATGCATGCTTATTGAAGTGCTGATGGCAAAGAAAGAAAATATAATTATTCAAAATGAAATTGTACTGCGTAATAGATTACTAGATATTCTTATTGAATGGACAAGCGACATTGCTCTAGTAAGTGTCCTTTGCGCCTTATAATACAGCACTAATACTCTACCTATAAACACAGTTACGAAAACCACTTGAAGGCGGGCCACAGGTGGAGCGACTTCAAAAGGACTTGGATCTTGCATGCATGAAGGCTATCGTAAATGTACTACACCAGCTCCCACTCCAGAGCACCGAAACTGTTCGACTGTCGGATGCATCTTTAGTCAAAAGCAAACTGTTCTTAAAGTACTTTAACTTTTTCAGAAAGATTTTGGACAGATATAAACGTGCAGAGCGAGACATAATGACAAATAAGATGCCTATAGATCACAGAGATGGATCATACAGATCATTAGCATCTTCAAGCACAGGTGCATCAACGACAGCAGATTCACTTCAAGATATTATTCAAATGAAAGAATTGACCATTCTAGCCATGTCACATCTATTGAGTGCAAACGTGGAGGCGGGACTCAAGTATTCATTATCGATGGGCTACGACGACGACCAAAAGACACGTTGTTCGTTCATGCAAGTATTGACAAACATCCTTGACCATGGCACTGAATTCGAGACATTGGCAGAAAGTGTGATGACAGATAGATACGAAAAGCTGATTGACGTAAGATTGGGAAATGATAGTTTCTTCAAAAAGCATTTGCTAAATCTATAGCTATTAGACGCTGGTAGAGGCTGACATTGAGGTAATTCTTGCTCTGTGTGATGTTTGCCCTACATCAGAAATATCAAGCCTTGCAGAAGTACTACTGATTTCTTTCGAATCTCGTGGTAAAATCACTCCATTACTTAAAGCTATAATAGATCGGGAAGTGATGCAAACAGGTAACTTTATCCAAACTTAAAGAGAAACATAAACTAATTTGACACAATGTAGAACAAGAAGCAACTTTGTTTCGAGGAACTACAATTGCTACACGTATTCTGTCTATTTACAACAAAATTGTCTGCGGTGATTACGTTCGTTTTACGCTTTTGCCAGCCATAGAAAAAATCTGCGCCTTACCCAACGATCAACTCACCTGGGAGCTTGATCAACAAAAGATAAAAAATTCGGAGGATGTCATGAAAAATAAGAAAAACGTCATCCAAGCTACAGACATTTTATTGAACGCGATCTGTTCGTCGGTTGATAATGCACCAATGTAAGTGGGCTCCCTATATATAAAGCCATAATCTAATATAACCTAGGGTATTCCGTGAGCAACTTTCTTTAATTAGTGAATCAGTTGGAGCCCGCTTTCCAGAGGCTAATTTCACAGCTGTTGGTGGATTTGTATTTTTACGCATGTTTGGACCTGCTATTCTTTCTCCAGAAAACTCTGTCATTGCCAAAGGTGCCCTTCCAAAGAATACCAACGTCCGAAAGATTCTACTTCAGGCAACACGAATTATACAAAATCTCGCCAACAATGTCCTGTTTGGTGCAAAGGAAACACACATGATTATTCTGAATGATTTTTTGACAGTCAACATATACAGAGTAACTTCTTTTTTGAGGAGCATGGCTACATTACCTGCGCAGTATCCAGAGCAATCCGCTGGCGCATTGGTTATGGATCAAACAGGTTACATTCGGCTTCATACTTATCTAGCGGATAATTTGGATCGCATCTCTAGAGAATTAACCAGTAGAAATATTGGAAGAGGTGATGCTGAAAAATTACTTCGTTGCAAAAAGACACTTGATCGTCTTTCTACCCTTTTAGCACAGCTAGGTCGACCATCTGAAATACATGGCGCGGATTTTTTGTCTACTAGAAACTATACGATAGCAAATAATAACCGTACTTTTAACGAATTCATGAAGCGAAATGTACATCGTGACCTTTCAGCTATCAGATCACAGCATATTTTTTATCTTGGTGGAAAATCAAAAGAAGGACGACCCGTGTTTTACTTTCTTGCAAGGACAATAGAACCTGAGAGTATGGATCTTGAACTGCTTATGTATTATATACTCAGAGTAAGTCGAATATAAGATGAACTTTTAGCAGTACTGTTTACCTCTCCCTTAATCATTAGGCGATGGAACCTTATTTGAATTCACCATTTGAAGTATTAGTGGACGCAACAGGGTTTACCCTCGCTAATGCTATACCTATTCATTGGATAACCCAGCTTTTTCACATGATATTCAATGAGATGAATGATTACCTGGTGGCTGTACATATATATAATCCATCTACTCATCTTCAACGTCATCTTAGCAAGCTACCCCGTCCTATTGTGAACAGGATCATCAAAAGACTTCACTTTTATTCAAATTTGAATGAACTTTACGAAAACTTTTCACTTTCAGAATTCAAGCTTTCGAAAATGACTTGTAAGCAGGAGCTCAACTCTATTCTCTTTATACTAATCACTCTTATATATGCAGTGGACCTCGAGAAGGATGCTTGTGTCACAATTTTCCCAGTAACAAGGTTGACCAACCTGAGAACATCCATACCTGTCATTGTAAAGATTGGTCTAGAGGAAATACAAATAATTACAGTATGTACCTTAATGATAATCAAACAGCATCTTATTTATTTTTTTATTTTTGCATAGATGAAGAAACAAGAAGTCTTTTATAACGTTCATGCCATATTACGAGATATTCATCATATATCAGAGATAGAAGATATAACCGCTTTGCCTTCTTCTAAATCGGAAAGTGGAGGAGAAATTTCCATAAAATATGATAGAGGGAAGTCTACGATGGTCTTAGCTTCGGCTCAACGAGACGTCATACTTGCTGTAAGTATCTATAGAAGCATGTTCAGGAGGATATCTAACCCTTGTTTTAATAGCATCTTCGTCATAGCAAGCAACGATATGAAGCATCTAAGCCTAATATGATACATGAGCGTGCAATCAGACCAAATGATGTTCCTGGAAGATTACTTAATATGGCCTTGTTGAACATTGGAAATAGCGACCCTGGCCTTCGATTAGCTGCATACAATTTACTGTATTCTCTAAGTCTTTCATTTAAATTCAATGTTGGAAATCAATTGCTAAATGCTAAAGGTATGTGCGACAAGTCGAGTATAAAAAAGTGCACTTTATTTACAAGTCTTAGATCTTTGTATTCCTTCAAACAGCATAAACTTTATTGTGGGAATCAGTGAGCGCCTGGCTCAGAATGAACTTCATTTGACGTTGGAATTCCTGGATGAAGCACTGGTTGGCTTATCAAAATCAAATGATAGCATGCAGCAATTGTGTTTAGATTATATGGCACCTTGGTTACTAAACTTGGGACATTTTGCTAGATATGATCCTGAAGAACAAAAATCCAGTGCTACAAAGACAAAGGAATTCATTATGTCATTGATCCGCTTGACCATAAATAGAGTAGAGGTACGTTCATTGCTTTTTCTTAAGAGAAAAAAAAAAAAAAATAAACAAACATATTTTAAACTTAGCTCTATAAACATATGCAAGCCAAAATCTGGAAGACACTGACAGAAGTTGAAGAGATTGTTAACCTCGTAATTGATTGCTTCGTACAGTGTTCTATTGAATACGGCATAGGCTCTCCTCAGGCTGAGATGATTGCTGATACGTTGGTGACAATGTCAAGTGTATCTATCCGAGGCAAAATTATAAGTCGAATGAGGCGATTGATCGAAAGTACATCCTTTCAACCCTGCAGACAATTGACTGAACATCCAGCATGGAAAGAAATTGCAATTCTGCTTCGATTTATCCTCATGTTATCATTCAACAACACTGGGTCAATCGTGCCCTATATACCAGAAATATATCATGTTATCTCCATCCTAGTTGTTACTGGCCCTACATTTATTAGATCATCTGTGCATGAACTTGTTGTAAATACTATTCATACCTTGTGTACCATGAATGCTTGCTTGCCTGAAGAAAATGTTAAAAAGCTGCACTTTGTCCTGAACGATGTCTGTGATAGCAAGAATCGTGTTCTCTTTGGACTTACAAAGCAAATGGCTAATGCATTTACTATCACCACAGAAACTACCTCTGACTATGCTGAATCGATCAACCTCGTGTCTTTACAAAATATTGTAAAGTTATTGATGGATACCTTAAATTATGGTGCACCTACTGTTGATATAGCCAACATGTGGAGAGCGAGATGGATGGGCTTAGTAACCAGCACTGCCTTTTACTTTAATCCTGCCATTCAACCAAGATCATTCGTGGTATTAGGCTGCCTTGCCCAAGATGATGTAGATGATGACCTCTTGTATCAGATCCTCGTAGCACTGAAGGGTGCATTAGCCATCTTTATTGAAACAGAGCCAAATCTGATCATAAGCATCATGATGTGCTTAACCAATATCATTGACAATCTTCCTACTGATTCTAGATACATTCTCCATCTCTTCTGGCTTGCGGTTGCTCTTGTTCAAATTGGTCATCCCGCCATCTTTCAGACAGCTGTGGAACTCCTTCATTCTGTTCTTCGTGCACTCGATTCTAGAAAGATATTTGCTCATAAAACAATCGAGCAGGTCCTATTGGATGCACGAATCGACCTGGAGGACTGTGCCTTTGAACTTGACAAGGCGTGTGGTGTAAACTTTAACGAGTACTTTTCCTTTGCAATTGCTGTTATCTTGCTGAAGGGATTGAAACAGTGTGAATCAAAGGACGTTGTTTATCATTGTCTTTGTTCATTTTTACAAATCGATTCAAAGCGGTCAGTTCAGCAAGGCTTCATTGAGTCGCGTTCGATTGGTTATTTGGCTGGTTTGCTACCCTTTATTGCAAAGGATGATAAGCTGAAGGAGCTACTGGCTGTAGCAGGCGTGTGCGAAATGGATGTAGAGAATATTGATTTAGGAATATCAAATCCAAGTCTATTTGATTTCCTTGAAATTCCTGATAATAGCACTGCTCTCCTTTTGGTCTCTCTGCTAGTTACATTATTAAATGCATCCGAAAACGAATCAGAGAAACTTTTCTTGTATAATTTACTGGCTGATGCAGCAAACTGGGTACCAGAAGTATTCGCTCTCATGTAAGTAAAGCAGCTATAATACACATTCCAAAGTACTAAACCTTTAATTAGCTATGAATCCTTACTTCCTAAAATGAATCAAATGGTCATCAACAGCCAAAATCAAGACTTGATTGAAGCTGTGAAAAACATCCTATTGACTGCATGTTCAGAACCTGCCTTCCTTGCCGTGCCTCAGAAGCGTACACAGAAATGGGGACTCGATAATCTGAGATTCTCATCTCTTATTGATCCTACTTTTGGTGCCGTAAAGACAAATGTAACAGTCAATGCTAAGCTAGCCAGTAAGCTATTGGGTGCTATTACCGAGCACCAATAATACTTCACTCCTTTTTTTTACACAACTATGCCCCAAACCCTGTAAATTCTCGATACATTCCTATGATTGCAACATACAAAAAATTAGATCATAATAATAAAAATAAGCATTTTAATCAGTTCTTATATTCAAAATACGCTTTTTATTTGATGAAAATGATATTAAAAATAAAGACTCTTTGCTCACATTGGTCAATTAGAAAAAAACCCACACACAAAAAAAAAAAGAAAGAATCATACCGAGGGAGTCTTAGATATCCGAGTGTAGCTCCACCAACCATATAAATGGGCATCTACCTACCTGTTTTATCTGTTATAAAAAGAGATTAGTCATATTTTTATATTTAGGTTGGTGGCTAACTACTACTGTTGTTGCTGCTGTATGTGTACGAAAAAAGAAAACACATCGCGACGCATGAATTACCATGATCCGCTCATAAGGGTATGATCTCAGCCAAACCAAATGGTTTGGCACCCCTCGGTTGTTCTTTTTAAGTACAACGTTAGTAGGTAAAACAGATAATTGTCTTTACGCATAGTTCTCCAAGGGAAAGTAAACCAAAGGGAAGTCATACTGTTTTCTTGAGTTTGCTTACTTACCTAAAGAGAACCAGAGGCGCAGGCACGACAATTATATTTATTTGCTGAATTCTAATTCTTCTCTCTATATATGCTTGGTATTTCTTTACATTGGGTTGAAAATACGATCAATTTCCTCGAGTGTTTTGCCTTTAGTTTCTGGAATAAAGAGACTTCCCAAGAAGAGCACAGTGCAACAGGCGCCAAAGAAGTAATAACCACCGTAAATTGTGTTGTCCATGAATATAGGCATAATAAATGTCATAAAGATACCAATAGCCCAGTTGATACCGTAAGCTAAAGCAATCACCTTGGCACGTGTACGCATGTTGGATATTTCTGCAGGGTAAATGTAGGCCACAGGTCCCCAGCTGTAGGCATAAGCGGCCTGGAAAATAAACACAAGTGCAATGACACAGTTACGAGCATTGCTGTTTGCTAACCCAATGCTGCCATCTTCACCAATAGTATTATAGCCTTGGAAAAGACCACCAACAATATACATTGATGCTCCCATGATAAAGGCACCAGAAGCAAACACGAGACGACGTCCGACCTTGTCAACATACATCATAGTAAGTATGGTAAAGATAAGCACCAAGACATTACTAGCGCCACTGGTTGCCAAAGAAATCGCAGTATCATTCAAACCAGCCTGTTGAAAGATTTGAGGAGTATAGTAACTAATGGAATATGTTCCAGTAAAGGCAGCACCATTACCAGCGAAAAGACCAAGCAGAGTGCGTTTCATGTTTGTTCCTCGGAAGCATTCAACAAATGTACGGTCACCAAAGGATCGCTCGGTTTCAATTTCTTCACAGATACTCTTAAACTCGTTCTTCACTTCAGGATCATCGATTGTAGACTCGTGCAGTTTAGCCAAAACCACAAGGGCTTCTTCTTTACGCCCCTTATCAATTAACCAACGAGGAGAGAAAGGCATAAAGTAGACTACAGACAGTAAGACACAAATGCCCACCTGGATCAAGAAAGGTGCTCGCCATGACCAGTCGGAGGTAAGATAGGATGTTCCAAAATTAACAAAGAAGCCTACGATCGTACCCAATGAAGCAGTAGCACTGAAAAGGGTAATCAAACGACCACGGATGTCTGGAGGAGCGATTTCAGTATGGTAGAGAGGTATAGCATTTGTCAAGAACCCTTCACCAAAACCAACCAATAAGCGGCCAGCCATGAGTAATCCAAAGTTGTAGCCTATAGTTTCGAAAAGAGCACCAATAGCAAATACCCATGTTCCAAGGAGAATAGTGTACTTTCGACCTATGGTGTCTAAAAGTAGCAGTGTTAACATTATTATATTATAGAAAAATAATAATACATATAGATCATACCACACACATTGCCTGATGCTAGTCCACCGATAGTAGCAGTCAACAACATCATTGCAACAAGTAATGCTTGACGATAAGTTGAATCCACATTCAAGAAACGGTCTTGGAAGGGTTCCAAGACCATGATGCCCGAGATAGCACCAGTATCAAAACCAACGACAAATCCACCACCAGCAGCAATAATACCGGCAAGATAGAGCGATTTACGGCCCCCTCGATGGACTTCATGTATAGTAGGAATAGATTCTTGATCTATATCCTTGACTTCGTTATCAGTTTTAAAGCCCATGTTTTTATGGCAATAAAAAAAAGCAGTAAAAGAAAAAGAAGTAAATGCTTTAATATATAAAAAATTTTTTATTCCTTGCCTTTCTGAGAAATGGTTCCAGATCAAGATGAACCAGATAAAGAGTCACGTAGCACCATTCGTATTTAAAGACACATATGGCTTGGTGTACTTGTCATCTACTTCTAACGTGATCGTTAGTGTTAATATGATATATTTCATTCACTATATCTAATTCATTTTATAAAGTACAAAGTGATTCTAGTTACACGAACTTTGACTGAGAATAGCCTTGGATCAAATAGGATCAGTTCATAATCGCGCGACCCCCCCATGTCAGATAGATTATATGTCAAATAGTTTCAAGATGATAGTTAATCAAGAACATCTAAAAGCACATATACACTCCTCTCAGTTATTCATACAACAGACAAACCATTGACGTACACGTATTACATGTATCCTATGTTTATTTACAATTGTTCCTGAAATACACTTTTTCAGTGATAGGGTGATGTTATGACAAGTCTAAATTTTTTATTGGCAGGTCCTTTTTAAAGGTATAAATCGAAAACATCGTGTCATTTTGTTGGCTCTAAAATATTCAATGTAGACTGCTCAATTCCCTAATCATTTTGACTGGGAATATCCTTTAATTTTTTTTTTTTTTTTTTCTGATCTAGCTGGGGCTAGTTGATCTTTCAAAACTTGATAAAAACTTATAAACTGCAATTGGTTAGCAAAATGTATTTAGAAAGCGTACAACCTGTAGCTCGAATTACTTTATGATTGATAATATTGACCATTGAAATGAGACAAACGATAATGGATAAAAGCACATGCTTCAAGTTAGCATAAACCAATACTCAAGTATCACTTTTTGTTGCTTGCATCGAGCACACACTCCCATCAGTGATTTGACCCAGAATTTGAGCGGCCCTTGTATCACGTTACCCTAGCTTACACTTTTACTCAAATCTCTTATTTTGTTATCTTTTTTCCTTTTTCTCTCTCTTTTTCTCGACAGCTCTTTCTTACATTAATGTCTGCTTCAACTGAGAACAAGGCCCCTGAACCTAAATTTGCTCAACCCAAGCCATATAAGGTTGACCTTGAGCCTGGAAAGGTAAGCTAGGCACACGCTTTTTTTTTTTATGTCTTGCCTCTAACTTGTTTGGCAGGAATACTATTGGTAACAGAATAGAACTTTTTTTTTTAATAATCTAATACTCTTTCAAAGGTGCACATGCGGTGAATCCAAGACTCAACCCTTCTGTGATGGATCGGTAATAGTTATCTCACATACAAGTGTATGCAAAATATAAATAATGCATTTAGCATAGAAAAGAAGGCGTCTTTAAGCCAAAGAAGATCGTAGTTGACGAAGCCAAAACTTATTATTTGTGTGGATGCAAGATCACAAAGGACCCCAATGGTTTCTGTGACGGTACACATCGTAAAGAAGAGGGTATCCGTAAATACAATGAATTCCTGCTCAAGGCCAATAACGACCTGAAGACTCAAAAGGAAATGGCTATCAAGGCTCAAGAAGAACTTGAGGCCAAATTAAAGAAGGCAGAAAGAAAGCAAGTCATTGCTGATGTTGTCGCTGGTTTATCTTTGACGCTCGTTGTTGCTGGTGTAGCTTTAGCCTGGTATTCTCGTAAATAAACTGTCTTTATTTAAACGTTTGAATGATGAGAACCATAAAATTGAAGTGTATACGCCGTTTGATGCTCTGGCATCATCAAGAAAGTATAGTCGTTTTCACTATTCAAATACGCGTAGTGTTCTTTTCCTTTCCAAGTATAAGGCGAGTCACGATAGCCGTATACGGTGAGTGATGTCCAGTGGTTGATGATGTCAGGTACCATTAGTTTTCTAATGTATTGTCAAGTATCTCTCTTTTTGTCTTAATTTTTCTCTCTTTACCTTATCATTGTCATAACATTGTGGATAAAAGGAGTAGGCAAAAGCCCTTTCCATTTTATCAAGGTGCCTGTTTGACTGTCCAGGTAAGGCGCTGGGGCTTTATATACAGAGATGAATGGATCTACTGCCTTTGTCGTCTTGGCTTTTATTCTATTTGACCTTATATAAGCTAGTCCAATCCACTCTAATGCATTCATGACATGTCTATCCCAATCTTCGGCTGGTTGACCGTTTAAAGAGTGGTTGATACTTTCAAAACTGGGTATATGAATGTCAGTCAATGTCTCAAATTGAGGCTCTATGTCTATCTTTGTCACTTTCTTCACTTGAGATGGCCATTCAATATCCACAGATTGCCCAGTCACTATGTTAAAGTAAGCTTTCTGGATTGACATTTTAGATATTCTTGCCTTTATCAGTTGCTGCAAAAACTAGCTTGAATGTCTGTGTCAATGTGTTCTCAAGACACCACTTTAATCTTTCAAACTGTTTACTTCCTGGGTGCAATTGATTATCCTTAAGTGGAATGTTGATTACTAGATGATCGTTAGTTATCCTTGGGGGTTAGTAGCTTATTTATGCTTACTGTATTTGTTATGCTTCATGGATGCCTTTGATCTGTGCTGTACTTGAATACCAAACTTTTCATACGCGTCTTTTACTAAACTTAATGAAAGGTTTCCTTCTGGATCAAGCACAATAACATTATCTGTGTTTAGATCCGTATTCAAAGTGTGCATCATCAGGTTGTACTGATCTGTTGTAATTTAACTGTCAACTCTTGTTCTTTCTTTCTTTCGTTCTTTCTTGTACCTGATTGAAAGAATGTCTTGAAGAAGTTTAAATCTAATAATATAGAAAGAGGAGCTTCTACTTGATAATAATATCCAAGCTTTTGGTTAAAGTGTTCATTTGCTAAATTAATAGAGCATCCAGGTAAAAATACAGTCAGCTAAAAAGCACAATAAGTAACTTTTGTTATAAATCGCAATAGCATTTACTGCCTGATTAAAAGGATGCATATCAATCATGTTTTTCCAAATGGAATCATGTTTTGATAAATCGAGATAGTTTAAATCAGCAAAGGATTTCGAAGATTCATCGTTGGCAATATAAGTTTTTTGACTCATAAGAAAAAATAAAATAAAATGCGTGCCCTGTGACTTTTTTGTACTGTATAAGATTTTGAATTAAAGCTTGATGAAATAGCCATATTTTTAATCAATAATGGATTCAGTACTAGGCCAGCATTGTATATTTGATAAAAGAGGTCAGTAGCTTAAGCCAGTCTTTTGTTTTATCAGCTTCCCCAGTTTGAAAGTGCATTCTTCTGTGGTGAAAGAAAATGTACGATTTATATTACAGTGCGGCTGGTAAATTTTGTCCGTTATCAAAAAATAAACGTTGATACTCCCAAAATGAATCTTGATGTTGTTAAGGTATACAGTTTGAATTTTTGTACATTCATACAGTACTATCCGTTGAGCATTCACTAGCATGATTGGTGTATAGCTTGCACTTCTACAATAGGATTCTTTGTGCTTTGAAACAAACGATCTATAGTTTTCGGTTTTACAAGAAGCCTTCCAGGTCTACTGTTTCTAACGATGAGGCTCAAGAAGACCTCTACAAAGAACCATTTTCTTATGTAATCACTCAAGTCAAAGCTAAAGTCTTCTTCTAACTCCTTCCGGAATATATACTTTGAAAAAGCAAACGTATGTGCTGCTAGTGTGTTGGTTATATTCACTAGCTCGTGCAAAGATTGTGTATAATTTGGCTTCCATATAGACTTCATGGTGGTTTTGGCTGCTATCACGCGCTTTTTTACTATGTTTGCGTTTGCGGATGAATTACTAGAGTCACTAACGGCGTTGTACTTTGCAGTAGCAACAGTAGACTTTGCAAAGGAGCATCATCACTAGGTTTAGATTCGATGATAGCAGTAGAAGTAGAGCTACTAGGCTTTTCTTTGCTTTTCTCCATTCGTTTTTGAGAACTATTTACAGGTGTAGGTTCCCTACCTATATTGTTTTCATATTGAGACAACTATTATCTGGATGACCTATTGTACTTATACATACTTTTTCTTTTTCTAGTTATAGTTGGCTGAAAATCATCATCAGAATTCTCTTCTGTCACATTCTCATATTTGTCTATAATACCACGATTTTTGTAGTCAGCATTGGGCGTAATAAAAGTCAATCATTTGTATATATATCTTACCTTCCACTACTTTTTTGGGCGACTCCTTTTGTTGTGGAGAAGTGGTTGTTTGCTTATTCTTCCCTTTCATGTAAGTTCTTTTTTGAAAGCTATGAAGGAAGAAGCTTGATTCAGTACCCTGTGGTAATCAAAGAAAGACAGACAAAAGAAAAGAAGTAAAAAAATGAAATCGAGCTATACCTACAATAATATTTTTTTTTTCTGGAATAGCTACTGTCTCCATTTACGATATTAAATTTAAAATACCATATATGTTTACCGATATTATGGGATACTTGTGTTGTGAACTGACTTGACTTTGTTGAACTTTTTTGCAGTAATGATTGATCCTGAGACAAAGAAAACCTATGCATTTCTGTTGTTGTTTTAAAGATATCAACTCAATAGACTTATTTGATAAAGTAAGCTCAATAATAGAATATCAATACATTAAATAGACAAAGGCCAAAATGTAAGGAAGGTTCAATTAATGGTATACATCATAGTATTATGGATGATCAGTTGTAGTATTTTTGCAAGTTTCCAGAAAGGGTTACGACTACAGAAAATTAACGAATATAATTGTGCTAATTGCCACAGCTTCAATAGATACGCAACTATGACTAACGATTAGTTAAATACAACGCTTAAGAAGAAGGAAAAGGTACGAATAGACAGCTGTTTACATTTAGAAAATATCACAATGGAACTAATCAACGAATAAAGTAAGGTTTCGAAAACAACAATCATTTGATAACAGGCTGACAATTATTTTTTAGCTAGATGCTATTTATTTTTCAAGAATCAACCTGTTGCCGAAGTGGAAGGAGAAGATGAGGTGGTAATAGGGTCATTCACGCCACGCTTTATTTTCAGATAATATTATATAATAAGAAAATTTTTTTTTCTATATTACTTCTTCAAATCTTTTCGCGTCCCATGCCCATTTTTTGTGCTTGCGTAGGGGGCGGAAAAAACAAGTCTTTAAGCCAAGTTAAAGTTGTCGGGTGGGTGACCACCTCACCTTCTTCCACTTCGGCAACAGATTGATTGGCAGGCATACTGGTTCCAATTATTGTTGCCTCCGTTTCAGGTTCCGATGAGATGGTAGTCTTCTCCGTAGCAGAAAAAATGGTAGTTGTAATTTCTTCACTTTCTTGAACTATGTCAAACGGTTTATAATAATATTTTTCAAACGTGTCTGACTTGCTTGACCAATTTGCCTGTTTTTTGACTTGTTTGATACTGTGTCCTTTCATCACTGCCCAGGTGCTTGCTGCAGCACGAATTGAGTGAGCTTTGTGTATACTTGTGTCTATACCCGAATCTTGCACCACTTGCTGGATTCACGTAGCAACTGCCGATGGTTGTACTGGCTTGACTTTGGATTTGTCTTCCACGTGGGCTAAGAATAGTGTGTGGCCTGGCGGTAGTGGCGACCTAACTTCTTGCGTGCGTTCCAGATATAGTTCCAGAGTTTTCATTGAGCAATCATCTTTTGGAAGATTGAACGAAATTCCTATATTGGTTGTCTTGTACTGACTTTCCTTGGGTTCTCTGCATGCCAAAGACATTCCTAGACTACGTCCCTGTCGGTCATAAGTAAACCACACATCCCGGTGTTGCAGTCTCCCTAATTCGGATCGAAGCCTCATCATCGTAGAAATAGCTAACCAGAGCAGAGTCTTCTTCTGGAGTTGGTTCACGTCTAAGTCCCGTACTGGTCCCCATCCACGCACGTGATCTATGACAAGTTAGATGGCCCTTGTGTCTTGCTTTTCTGTGATAGGGATTAAGGCTGTGGGCTTGCGTTTGGCCTGGAAGAACGTTGCAATCAGCGGGTCTTCTTCTATCAATCTTTTGTCTTCGTGAAAAATGCTAAATACGGAAGCAATTACTGAGTGATAACGTTCAGTGTGGGTGCTGACAGGTGAGGATGGTCGTTTAGGAAGCGATAAACCGCATGGGGATCATAAGCTTTGCAATCTAAGTTGTGTTGTTGGCACCAGTTTGACCATACTCGCCAACCATGGCCGTATGCTTTGTGGGTTTTTGTCCTTGTCGCTTGTGACAAATATTCCACGTCCTCTATATTTAATCCTTCTGCAATGCGTTTTTGGAAGATAGTAGCCATGCATGGTTAGGTCTGGCTTGGATGGTTGGTGACGGATTGGTGTTCCGTTCTTCTGCGATGCCTTATTTATCCACCATGTCAGTTCTTGAATGTTCGGTATGCTATATTGACATGGTGCTTCCCAATTGTGGTTCAACAATCGCAATGACCTTGCTAGATCCTGTTGCAAGTGTCTCACGTGGAGAAGTGCTTCGCCAATTTCCGGTATCATTGCTGTCACCTTCCCAATAAGGCTCACTATCCATCGGCATGATCTCCGTTTGTTATCTTTTAATAGTTGACGAATCCGTGAATTTAATTTTTGGATCTTCACCTGTGGAACTTGAATTGTCATCTCTCGAGAATTGAAGAGGAACCCAAGGAATGATTGTACCCGTTGGGGTTGGAGTATGCTCTTTTCTTGGTTGATTAAAAAACCCAGCTGTTCCAGATGTGATATGATCTTGGTCGTATGTTCTTGCATTTCCTCTTTCGTTCTTGCTAATACACATATGTCGTCTAGATAGAAGACAAACCTGATTCCCGATTTGCGTAATGGTTCGAGAGCATATCTCATCAGCTTGGAAAATATGTGAGGAGCCACATTGAGGCCAAAGGCCAGACTCCTGTATCTGTATACCGTCCCCCGATGGAGAAGTGTAAGAAAATCGCGGGAACCTTGGTGTATCGGTATGGCTGTGTACGCATTCTTCAAGTCTATTTTGCACATATAGTCGTTCGGTTCAATCAGTTCTCTCAGTGCCGGTACTCCTTCCATCTTGAAAATAAAGCGTGGCGTGAAAAAGCCTATTACCACCTCATTGGAACCTGAAACGGAGGCAACAATGATTGGAACAAGTATGCCTTCCAATTGCCATTTATTTTCAAAAATCACTATCTATTTTTCGATAACGCACAAAATTTGCCAGCCGCACTGTATATAATCTCTCACCAAATTTGCAGTGTGTATGGGGGAGCATTATCGTTGTTTTTTTTTT